GTTTACACATTTTAATCAATTCCAATATTTTTTCTGTAAATTGGTTTTCGACTGAAGAGGAAGAGATATTTGTATGATGAAGGAGAATTTCTTATTTTAGGACACATATTTTGAATTTCTCTTATAGATTTTCGAAGAGATTGTGAATAATAGAACGTTAATAATTTTTATCTTGGAACATACATACTTGGAACAACAATCTCAAAAATCGTACTGCTTCTGTTTAATTTTTGTGTTACGTTATTATTTACTAGTATTTTAACTTTTTAAGTATTAACATGTACGTTCAATAATTTATCAGGTTTTGTTTTCCTCATTCACATAAAAAATCCTTTGTTAATGTTGTCTTATTTATTGAGAATGTCACAATCAAAGTAAGTGCGGTAACTTGTATCATACGTGACACCTCCCAGTATTAATTGTTAGTTATTATAAATAAACCATTGCAAATTTTCCATGGGATTTGTGATTTGAAAAAAAAATGGACATTTTGTACGGCGTGCTCAGAAGTTCTCAACACAAGTAGCTTCAAAACAAAAGTCAATATTATATTTGTCCTTAAACGGGGCGTGTGAACTTTGTCAAGCAGATCCTTCAAACAACTAATTCCAGTAATACGTTGTAAGCATACATGAAAAAAAAAAAAAAAAAAAAAAAAAAAAAAAAAAAAAAAAAACCTTTAGGTGAATACAATTTGTCAATACTTCAAGATTATACTACGCATTCACAGTTCTCGTCATCAAACACCAAAACTACCGAGTCGCTATTCTGTCCGTCTGAGGTTACAGTTTTTGCATGTAGTTTTTGGTTGGCAATCTGGGCTCCTTTGTGTAAATTGTCAACGTCTTCCTCGTGTATCGTATGGGCGCTGTCGCCAGACAGGTAGCGTGTGCGCACTGAATCGAATGTCACTGTTTTATTTTGCTTGTGCGGTTTCCACATTTTACTTTCATCATTCTGTGGACTATTTCCAGTCGCAGCTACTACTACTGATTCTTTGCTGGACTGCTGAATTGATCCAATGTAACACTGGGTTTGAGGGAATGGTTTACAAGAAGGAAACTGCTCGTGGTGCTGCGCTCTTTCGGACCATTTTCTAACGTCACACCTTTCTTCGATTGCATCAAGACGCTGATGTATATTCTTCATAACAGTGCATAATTCAGATAGTTTCTGGTGGATGCTTAAATCCGCGTTTGCCTCTTCATTTTCATGTTCATTTAGGCCGATTTCTAAAATTGGTTTAAGCATTTCCCATACATCCCGCTTCTTTCGTATCTCACGGTTCTCAAAGTATTCATCGAGACTGACTCGACTTTTTAGAAGTTGGGCCAGCCATGAGTCACTTAGATGGAGGTAAAGCTCTATGGACATTATTTGCTGTTTCATCTGAGCTATGTGCCGCACTGCCTCCACATCTCCTACAGCTAGACCAATGAGCAGGTTGTTCAGGATGATCACAACTAGTAAACAAAAGATTATCAACATAACTACACCTAAATCGTACTGTTGCGTCCTATTGATAAAGTTCTCATGGTAACCGAGCTCGCCGAAGCTCATCAAACCTACTGTTATAATCGAAACGCCAGCCGTTTGAAACATGGTGATCGAGTTCTTGAGGGCGTAAAACGCCAACCCAAACGCTATTACAAACGTAAGCAATATCCAAATGACTTTGAGAAGGGTACCCAGTAGTATCTTGATCATATGGACGTATATACCAAAGACTGGGATGAGTTCTAGAAACAGAACAAAATCCAACCACGCCAAGAAGACTGCTACGGAACCCAGCTGCATTCGGACATCATCGCTGAAATAATCTTTTGGTAAAAACTCACCAAGTGCCCCGAGAGTGAAAAGAAAACTTGTGATATATAAGGCCCATTCTATAAAATTGTCAAACTCCATGTATGCTGTTATTCCCTGGACTTTCAATTGACACAGTTCTTTTATCATCTGGATAAGTATGGTTGCCATGACAATTGTTGCCAGAGCGGTGTGGTAATTCCCTCCGTGCAACACTTCCGCATATTTCTCGGAGGTGCTATTTAGATTATGGGTAATATTCAAGTAATGAATATCCGTTTCCATAACTATCAAAGAGGTCAGTAGGCACAAAAACACCACAAACGTGAAGAAATTCAAGAAGTAGACATACACTCCAAACTTCTGCCAACTGACCGCCACTAGCTTTTCGACCACGGGGTGGTGCATGCATCGTACGTACGTAGCGTTTTCAACCGCGTCCATCTTGATCAAAGCTTTAAGTGGAGTATTGTCACCGTGGCCTTTCAGATACCTGAAGTCGTAACGAAAGCGCTGGAATTTCTTCTGGCGAAAGGAAGACGTATTACCCTGGGGAAGTTTATCGTATAATTCACGCAAGTTTATTTCCCCGTCACCATTACGATCGAAAGTGGTAATAATTTGGTCAACTTCCTCCTCTTGGAAATCGGTCCCCATCATCTGCAATCCTTGTCGGATTTCGTCTCGAGACAACGATCCACTATTGTTGGTATCCAATCGCTCAAATATAGTTTTGATTCGTAAACCCTTTTTTCGTGCGTGATCGAACAGCTTAATCAGCGGATTGGAATCTTTTTCTTGTTTCTCCTCTTCCTGGGTGACGAACTGATCTAGAAATTTTTCTGCGGCGTCCGGCATTTTCTGCATTATTTCTGGCAGTTGAGGGTGGCCGTCAGGGCTGTTTGGCAAACGCAGGAATCTAAAAGACAAGGCGTGATGGATTATGAAAATAGGTGTGCAGCGCATGTTTAATATTGTGAAAACTAAGAAAAAAGAAAGGTTGTAAATACTTTTCAATTTACATCTGTAAGATGACCAACAAGTTTCGTTTGTTTATTGATTACCATCCTTCAAAAATGCAAAACAGAAGTAGAAATCAATGCAATATAGTTGCTTACCTTGCCCAATCAGGTCGTGACGCCAAAAGCAGTACAACATCTTCATTGCCTGCAACCATAGCGACATCCAAGACGTTTTGTCTATGCCAGTTGTAACTAACCCTGCACCCCTGGTCCAAAAGAGCTTTCACGAGCTGAACGTGGCCTTGACGGGCGGATACATGGAGAGCTGTGTCCCCTTCACAATCGATCATATCCAATGAGGAGGAAAATACATTTAGGAGTTCTGTAACGCAATCTAAACTTCCCGACTTTGCTGCCAAATGAAGAGGAGACTCCCCTTTTATGTTCTGAGATACGGAGGCCTTAAATTTGATCAGAGCTTTCACCATGGCGGCATTTCCAGCAGAACACGCTAGGTGCAATGGCCTGTTCTTAAAGTCGTCCTCGCAGTTGACAACAGCACCTCCGTGGACTAATTCTTTTAAGCATCCCGTAACGACTGTGTCAGAGGTGTAGTGAATAGCATACCTGCCGTAGCCATCACGGTCGCAGATGTTCCCCCCATATTGCAGTATCAAACGAACAGCTTCAGCGCTTTCCCTGGCAGCGTAATGAATGGGGGTGCAGCCAACCTTGTCAAATCTCTTTAATAAAGGTTTTGCTTCTTGTTTTTGTAACAAGAAGTGCAGAAGCTCTGGGTTTGTGACAGCTAGATGTAGGATATTTTTGTTCTCATCATTTGTTGTGTCAAAACGCGCACCGTTACTTAGAATAGCTTGCACTGACTGAAGGTTACCACGTAACACAGCAAGCGCCAGTGGTGTGCAGCCACTCTCATCTCTGGCCTCAATGTTCGCACCGGCTTCTACCAACAATGTGACGATGAGGTTGCCATCTGTGAGAGAGCTGGCAGTATGTAATGGCGTGAGGCCCTGGGTACCGTGAACATTGACATCTATATCAGCGTGACTGAGTAACGCCTTTACAATGTTTACGTTGCCCGTGCACACTGCTGCGTGAAGCAGACGATCTTCTGTTCCATGCAAAGGGACATTTACATTGGTCGAGCGTCTCTTTGAAAGCGTGCGTTCTAGTTCTTCTTGATTTTGACTCAAAATTGAGTCCAAAATTATCTGACAGTTTAAAATATCAAGCTGAGGATCACTGGCATGCTCTCTTTTGTTTGGTTTCTCGATTTTTCTTAGCAGTTGAAAGTTGAAACTGGGCGAGGAATCGTCTATCCAAGAAGATGGTCCGAATTCAAATAAGTTACTGTTTTGGAGATCTACAACTAGGATTTTCTCCAAAAACCACAAATGGCCAGAACCCTTCGGTACAATCTGCATTCTTTCTGGACTCCCTAAATTTTTAAACGTCTCGATTTCCATCCTAGTAACCTTCCCCTGTCGATGAAAAGTCCACGTCTCCTTGCGTTCATGGTTACCAAATAAGGTGATAAGTGATTCTGACTCCGCCAAATTTTCTGTGTAGTTGTCTGCGTACACCAGAACTTCATACTTAAGTGAACTTGGTTTATCTTTACGAATACTATCCGTGTAGATAATTTTCCTATGTTTTAAACTCCCGTTTCTTTCCATCTTCACTCTCTTTTGGCACGTAAAACATGAGATGTGAACAAACTTGCACGTTCTTTAAAACCTTCAAAACACTTATCGCTTAGTCTGTAAACTCTGTGCGGAAACAATAAAGACCATAGGAATCGATACATCAAGCACTCGCCCATTGAGCAGTTTGGGAAAAGTTATGTGATCGAGAACATTCTTCATTGATAATCGATGGTCTTTCCTGTTGGAAACAAGCTAACTTGTTGTTACCGCTGCTGCCCCGTTAACAGATTAACAGCAAACCTGAACAAAGGCTTTGCGCAATTTCTGAAATTCCAGAAAAATTCGATACATTTGAACCTAATTGCCTATAACTGATTTCACTATTATCATAATATCCCGGCCCCTTCATCAATGCTCAGTTTCAAGTTTTGGTTCCAAAAATATTGTGTCATTTCGTAAAGCGGTTAACGCAGATCTTGTAATCAATGCGATTTCACATTAATTGATCACTAAACTGCACAAAAAAGAGAAACGGCTTCATCAATATCTTAAATAAATAATGAAGTAAATGAAGTAGACCAAATTAAATAAAGATCCAAATGATGTTTCTCCATCAGATGCCTACATGCTTAAATGATATGCAACGTGACTTTCTAGCCGTGACGTCTAGAGTAAACCAAGTCAAAAGCACATAAGTTTTTCCTGATTTAGGTGATTATTGCTGCAATTGCATTATTACTGCTATTCACATGATAAATCAGTTACAATGTAAACAAATATTGGTCTACAATGAATCATTTAATAGGATCAGCAAATTACAGTGCACTACGAAGATAACCGGGTTTATATGTACGTACAAATCCGCACTGTTGATCCCTCCTGCTCCTATTTCTTTTCCCTTTGTGTAATATTCGCTGATAAATGTGCATGTATAAAAATCTTTCATATTCGTATCACAGTGGCAACATCCATATTTAAAGAATATGTATATCTAAAACGTGTTGTATCATATTTATTGAAAGATTGATTTCACTGCACCAAGTATGTGAAATCAGACTGAACGCTGTCTGTTGACGGATGGGCGTCCCTTTTGAATATCACAACTGGTTGAACAAAAACCAGTCCTTTCATCCTACATGTCCCAATATCGTCACAATAGTATAACATGCACTCCAGTTTTATGTCCGTTTTCCCAGTTCTCCTCCCTCTGAACTCCAGCCAGGGCAGGTGGACTAGGTCCGTCAGGCTGCCTTTAGCAGGAGATTCGCATTCAGTGACATCATCTACAATGTGAAGAAAAAAACTTATGAATACCTACTAAAATTCATTATTTAATTTTTAAGACTGGTTGACTATGTTCGCCAGGCTGCCTTTAGCAGGTGATTCACATTCATTGACATCATCTGCAAAGGGGAAAAAATAATGAAAACTTTTCAAGTTTATTACTTAATTTTTAAAACCATTCCCATTATTTTGTCCAACAATCTGATCTAAAGCCCACTGATGATTCGTCTCATATGTAACCAATACATGTAACACAAAAAGGCCTACTGTATTCAAATAACACTAAATGAACCATTTTCAAGGGTCATATAAAAACATAAATAATACAGCTGCACCTACCTTCCAGCCATATCTGCCATGCACTAGGTGCCCCCTCTGTCAGGTGCCAGTGTTCAGGTAACTGTATATTGAGGTGACACAGTAACAGCTGCCCTTCCAGCAAATTCAGCTGCTCTAGAGTGACAAGCTCCGCCCTGGCTGGGGTCAGGCGTTTGAAGACTGGCTGTGGAAGGGAGTCAGTGCAGTCTAATTCTGTGAGCGTAGGGAATATCACAGGGAACTGAAATTAATTTTTTTTCTTTTTTATTTGCAAATGGTGTTGATGAAAAACAGGCATTTTTTTGTTACAAAACAAACTAAATAAGTAAATACCGTGAAATTGCTGACATATGGATTCTGTCATTCAGAATGAGTTAGGTTGACAGTTTCACTAGCTAGTATGCATTAATTTAACAGGGATTTTGGACGATTGCAATCAGATTAGCATGCTTCTTGTTTCCAACATACTGGCATAACCACCCCTTTCTGTATATTCTACTCAATGGCAGGAGGTGTGTTAGTCTGTTAATCTGACTGCATTCAGTAAATGCGCATTCCCATAGATTTTAGATCGATCTATCCCCGTGGGGAGTCTCACTAGATTACTGTCAGATAATCCGGCTTAAATGTCCGTCCCGCCTACTACAAGCTGTAAGGGGATAATTAACTTTCGTGCCCCCTCGGCTGACAGGTATTTAGCGTGAACCCCCAGGGAGTTGGGTCGATCTAGTTGGATCGATCTAATCTCTGGGGATGGGGTCTAAGAGTCCCCATGGAGTTACTGTGCACTAGCTAGTACAACTCACTCTGAATGGTCCCTTACAAAACAGTTGTTTTCAATATATAAAATGCTTAAACAAAAAAAGAACACATCAATCATTCACATGTTAGAGGCACTGAAGTTGTGACTGTTATTTCTGATTTGTAAAATGATGTACCTACCTCTGCCACCTCCTTGGTGGATAGATCATAAACTTTGATGGAGTGGTTATTGGTATCAGCAATGTACAAATACTGTCCAGTTGGGTCCAGTGCCAGCCCTCCTGGTTCATTAAAGGCAGCATCTGTAGCACTGCCACACCTGTTCCCTGGTTCACCTTGGCCCAGGATGGTGGTGCTGGTCTTAGTTGATGGATTAATTAACTTCACCTTCAGAAAATAGATATTTATAAACAGGTGATGGCAATTTTCATAGTTACATCGACTACATTTACATTAACTGCAAAAGAAATCTCTGTAAGGGACCATTCACAATGGATTTTATCGGCCTAGTTACTGCATGGTAACTCCACTTGACTTCGCTTGTTTCTAATGTACTTGTAAAATCACCAGCTTTTCTGTATTCTACAGTACTCAATGCCAGGACATACATATTACATTTACATCAGATGAAGTAGAGGTCTTTACTTGGAACTCGGTGCCCTGTTCTGTAAGTAAGCATGGTCCATAACAAACCTTGTGGTTGTACGAGTCAGCCACTGCCACCTGGTCTTCTCCAAACATAGCCACACCCAAAGGATGCTGCAACTTGGCATCAACACCCTTGCCATCTACATCTCCATAGGCAAACAGATTCTGAAAGGTTGGCAAGGATATTTATTTCTTTGAAAATTGATCAATTTATTTTATTTCAACAAGGATAGAAAAATTTCATGTTTGATGTTCCAGCCCTAGCAATAATAATGTATCACTTTGATTTGAAGCACGTGTAACATGTTAAATTTCATAAAGGAGGCTTTGATTAAAAACTTTTAAACTTTTTGCTAGAAATGTATACATTCCCATTTTTCTCCCCAAGGAGGTATCATATCAAAACTTTTTTTTAGTATTTGTCAGAGAAATGTTTGCATTCTACAGATCTTGTAAACTGAAGTTGTGTGATGAACTTTCAACATGAAACATTTTATTTAAAAAGGGCATACTGACACATACCATAGGATCCCTTTCCCCACCAACAAGTGCCTTCACACTACCATCTTGCAGGGAGATCATACGCACTGTTGAGCTCTCACTATCTGCCACATACAGCATATTCTTAGTGGAATCTAAGGCAAGACCTGAAGGCTGTGCAAAACAAGCACGGGCTGGGTAGCTGTTGTTACGATTCTCCTCTTTTCCACTTCCAGCAAACCTTACACAGGTGCCTTTACTGTATTGGCTGTAAAATTTGGTAAAATAACTTAATAAATGTGCCATTACTTCAGCATAATTGTATATTCTAGAAAGTATAAATGCTTATAATAACATGAGTTTTATCTACAAACAGAAATCTACTTCATAATTAAACCTAAAACCTTATAGTGCAACACTTCAATATATTTTAGTAGTACAACAAAATAACTAAACAATACAGACAGATATCAAAATCAATTTCGCAGTCAATGTAAAATAAAAATAAACAGTACCTTCCCTTCAGCCACTTCCCATCCTCCAGAAAATACATCCATATTTGATGTGTTCCAGCCATAGCGATAAATAAAACATTTGGGTCTGATGAACCTGTAAATACAATCAAAATAACATGTTTTTTTACAGGTAACAATCAAATTATATTACTATATTTTTTTCCATGAAAAACATTTTTACACTTATTAATTAAACAAAACCTGAACTTACACTAAAATCTTAACACTAAAATACAGGAAAATGGTACATTTGAATTCAAATACAGCATCTACATGTCACACCGTCAACATTTGCCTGTCTTACCCACAGACTTCCCCAGGACAAGATCCCAAGGTGAGCTGATCTCCTGGTCAGTCCCCTGCTGCCCCCCTTCATGATCATGGCCCTGCTTTCCTGTACCACACACAGTCTCAACTTGCTTGGAATCCAGGCATATCTAAAATATTATAACTTAATTTGACTGCATATTATTTAATTGGAATCAAAACCAATGATATATGAAAATAAAGGTGAAAGGTATAAAATGTTTGCTCACAAAAAGGCAAAGGTGAAAATCTGAATGTAAAATTGGTATTCAGAATAAAAAAAGGTTCTTTCAAGCTTGTTGAAATGTAGTTAAAGCAATAATAACTCTTCCTTTGAGATTCAAGATTCCGCAAGAAATACATTGTAAACAACGCATGGAAATATATTCTATTGTACTTTACCACTAAAACGGCCGTTATTTTAGTAAAACTAAAATCTGTGCTTGTCAATAGGGCTTTCGATGCCTTTCTTCCCGGTCGTCAAGGCATCCGTTGCTAATGACGTAAGGGTGTCACGCGGATTCTCGCGTTCATTCGAGACCAAAATAACATGGCACGAAACGCATTGATGCAGACACAGATGTAAGTTGCGAGTTTTTGTACAGTGCGTCAGATAACAAAAAGCCCAGAATGGCACACACATTGTGGATATAAATGCATTTTTAACAAAAAGACGAAAATATCTCATGAATCTTATATTATTGTTATATAGTGTTGTTGTTGTCTGCTTTTCCCGCAGTTTTAAGTAGGTCACCAGTGACTATGCAATGTCAGAGAGGGCTCCGTTAGTTAAAATCTCTTAGGAGATTTGTTAAAATCTCTTAGGAGATTTGTTAAAATCTCTTAGGAGATTTTAACAAAAAACTGTACGTTTAGGAAAAAAACCCTGGATTAACTTTGAATGCAGGAATGGGTCGTTGACCATTGGTAAGTACGGGAAAATTGCCGTTTTTTCCAGGAAAATCCAATTTTTGGCCAAAACGAAGAGTTATTATGACTTTAATTATCACATACCTAACCAGGACAAAAAAGCAAAAAAAATATTTTCAAAACCTCTGTTGTATAGTTTCTAACCTTTCTGACAGCATGGTTCTCTGTATCAGCAACAAATATTACATTCCCCAATGCTGCCACACCCTGGGGACTACTAAACATAGCCTCTGTAAAATGTCCATCTCTCATACCAGCCTTTCCACTTCCAATACATTCCTGGAATATCATCATTTGACTCAGTTTCATTCATACCTATTTAATCAAAGCTTAATTCTGCTACTTGGTAGCATGATAAAATGTCAATATTAAAATCTCTCTAACAGTATAAGTCGATTTTCCTTAAGATAATCATGTACCAAAAGTACATATTGATGTCACGAGTACTTGAATTTTGTTTGAAACTAAAAATCCACTAAACAAGAGTAATCTACCTGGACTACTCCCTGTCTATCTGTGACCAGTACCCTATGGTGTCCACTGTCTGTGATGACCAGGCTTTCCTCAACAACACAAACCTTGCCAGGAAACAACAGAGGGGAAGGTGGGATAGAATCCTTATACAATTTCATCTCAACATTTGCATCAGATATCTGGCCACGAGATTTGAAGTAGTCAAGTGCTACAGAAACAAATTCCAGGAGTTCCTCTCTGTGTCCTTCACCTACAAAGGTGTATAATAACTGCCCTTCTGGGCCTAAAACCAGGAGTGTTGGCCAACACTGGATGCTCATCTGGTGCCATAGAGAAGCATCAGCATCATTGACAACAGGATGGGTGATATTGTACCGTAATACAGCACTGAGAATGTTTGCTGATGTTTTCTCATTGTCAAACTTGGCAGAGTGTACCCCAACCACCACCACACCATCCGTGACTGTGAACTGTTGTTCTAGGGCATGGAGATCAGGCAAGATGTGGATGCAGTTGATACAGCAGTAGGTAAAAAAATCTAGCACTACCAACTTGCCTTTGAGGTTTCCATACAAACTGAGAGGGGAAGGCACATTGAACCACTCTAAGCCTGTAATAAGAGAAAATCCTGCTTGCAATGGTAAAATTACAACAGTAAAAAAGATCATTAAAGTGAAAACTGAACACCTGGTTACATATACTACATGTAATTCTGTCTTAAAGTCTACTCACTATTCTTTTATTTCAAAGGGCAAATGTAAGGAATAAAATGGCATTAAACAAAATATGATACAAACTATATTAAACCACAAATATTTTCCTATTAATGATTCAGAAAGGTGGCTAATTCAGGATGTGACGTTACTGTTGCCATTTAAATATTAAAATATCACTAATTCTAACGTATTTTAATTTCCAGCTTCAAAAAGGAAACAAAATACAAACACACATTTAAACATATGCTCGAATGTATATTAAATAAGAAATCGCTGATAAGAAGTAGGATAAAAACACTTGAAGACTAGAAGACTAGTGCTTTAGACCTTCATTTTGGTAATCACACTTTTCTTGTACCGGGTAGTGCCAGTAAGACCGGTTATTGAGACATATACACCCATGAAAAACGGAAATTTTTAGACAAGAAAATTACCCTGCTTAAAATCCGGACAAACTGTGTATTTTCCTTTGGTTAATTTCTGCACATGATCTTGGATGTATTGTCGACGTTCAGCTTTGTCGTCTATGCCAGTTAACTGTTCTTCCAGCTCAAAACAAGCTGATTGAAATGCTGTGACATTCACACCCGCCATATTTTGTGACCTACTTTCTTAGCAATTTGATTGGAGGAAAGCGAGGAAATCCCAACTGATTTTTTGATCACATGGGAAGGGAATTCCCAATAAACGATGAACGCAAGAGTTGCAAAATGAATCGGGAAATTAAAACACCACACGCAGTATGAAATATGATAACAAAATAAGTTAGCCTCTGCATAATATATTTGCATAGAAAAACTGATGGCAAGTGAAAGGCGACACTCCTGCTTTTTTTCATTTTCTAGTAATCAATGTAGGGCTACTGTCGGCAGTACTGCATATTAACGAGGTCAGGTTTATTGAAAAACACCCAAGGCGAAGGTACTCGACAGATGCCACAGGCAACATTTGTGTCGGCATGAATAATGTGAAAGTAATTTTATTACTTGGTGGAAAGAGAGACATACTGGCAATTGTGTCGATGTGAGTGGACTCACATCATTTTGATAAGGCAGACAGAATATTGGTACGTACATTAGCCTAGCTATTTCATGAAATAATCTATACCTTTATATCTAGAGATTCAGAAATATTGTAATATTTGTCACCCATAATTCGACTAAATTTATGAAATCAGAATAAATGTGCTCAGATGTCGAAAGTCAATTATAAATATACTAGTAATAATGACTGAGAAATTATTTCCATGTACAAATGTGTAACAGTTAAAGATTATACTGCCAGTAGAACCACATGTATATGTACCAGTTGGGTCTATGCATACAGGTCCCAACTGTCATTTATTAAAAAAAATTATTAACTTTTATGGATTCTTTAATGTTCGTTAGATTCAAGTGCGATCGCTCAAGATACTAACCATTTTGTAGCCATAGCACCGATAGCACCCTCAAGATGTTACCGCGCCTATAAAGAAATAATAAAAGTCTGCTGGCATGGCCGTCCAGAGACTGCGGAGCGAACCCCGTGGGAGACGGCGGATCAGGGTGGATCACATTAGTCCAGTTGTAAAATATGTATTGTTCTGGTTCAATTTTATGTTTTGGGTAAGTTCACTCTACTTTCAGTGTTTTTACGTTCACCAAGTGTTTGATTACATTCATTGTTTGAACAATGGCATTTTAAAAAACGTTTGAGCTTGTACTTTAACTACAATGGATGGCATGGTATGTTGCACGAATTAATGCATAGTGATATTTGTCTCGAAATATACTTTTATATATACGATTACAGTTGATTTAATGTGTGAATATCTAGTAGAAGTGCATACATCTATACTGAACTCTTCATTGATTATTATTGCCCCAGCTGGCGCACCTAATGAATCTAGAGCACTTAAACGAATCAATGTCTGTCGAGAGACAGCTGGAAATGAAACAGACCTCTGAGCCCCTCCAGCCAACAGTAAACATGTTTTCTATCTACAAACTGTCTGTTGCCATAAAAAGCTACTATGAATTCATATACCAACGAAGAAGGGGACTGTTTACATATTGAGAGCAAATTAATAAGAGAGAGGAGGAGGGAGAGGGAGTAAGAGGGAGGGACGGAAAATTGTAGCATATATGGGTATGAGGATTTTTTTTTTTTTTTTGCTTATCTTGAGGATCTCTTGGGGGGGGGGCAAAATTCACAGGAAATAAATTAATCATTTCACAAATCACAGTAAGTAAAACTTTATTCAAATCTAATTGATAATGCCTATAAATAAGTCCTGAAAATTCTGAAAATCACGATGCACCGGGTATAGTGACTTCGTTTCACGAAGGACCAAAAATAAATAGCAGCATTCACGAGTCACGGAAATGGGGTGCTTCGCGGATCACGCTAAATAATATGAACGTTTCACGCATCTCTGGACATTAAAAGTGGCTTTCACGTGTAAGAAAATTACCCAGTGAGAATTTCAATTTTGTATGGGGATCATCTTACTGTGATATTCAAAGCACAGGGGTGGAACATAGCTTGACTTCGTCTTGTTTCGCTTATACGTTATAGTATGGACAGAATTACAATTCGTAATTTTGCTCATGGTTTTAGTTAAATTTCTGAAGGGGGAGGGGGCGTGAGAGAAGCAGTCTAACCGAAGTAACAGGTGGCCCATTGTGAACCCTTCCCTACCCCCATCAAAAATTGACCAGAAGCAGCGATGAGACTGAAACACACGTACATGTAACAAGCTTGTGTTTCTTGTGCAATTTGACATTGAATTGTTGGCCCTTATACCGGCGCTTCTTTCTCAATTGATAGCAAAGTTGTTCCGCGCGAAATAACCAGAAAACGAACAGAGAAGATTATTAATACGGTACAAATGATAGTTCAATTATTATAATTATTTATGTATTTTACAGGTTGGTGGCGCATTGTTAGCGGGCCTTGGAGCATGGGTTTTGATAGAAAAAGAAAAGAAGTTGCGAGATGTCCTGGATTTTTTCTTTGATCCCGCCATAATTATGTGTGCAGCGGGTTGTATCATATTCGTGTTAGCATTTTTTGGCTGCATTGGAGCACTGAGGGAAAATCTTTGTCTACTGCAGACTGTAAGTATCAATTGGCTGATTTTCTTCGATCAGGTTATATTAAGCACAATTTCTATATGTACGTCACAACTAACACAAACGCAATCTGTAAAACATTTTCATTGACTTATGTATTCTTTATGTTTAACAAGGTATCAGGACTTGCATGGACTTATTTATTTCAGTTTCACTACGTGTTGACGATACTGCTGGTTATACAACTGTTGCTTGGTGCAGCCGTGTTTATTTTTTACTATGTTCCTGGTTTACGTCAACATATGCAAGCTCTCCCCGATGACGATCTCAAGCACGCAATTATAAAGTACAGAGATGATTTAGACTTAAGGGACCTTATTGATAATATACAAAAACAGGTAGTGTGATAGGTGTCGCTAAACGAAATAATTTGTATAGTTATCACCATGCATATTAACAGCCAAGTAAATCTTATATCACAGCATGATGAAGTAAGATAACATATTGCTCTTTTCAAAGCAACTTTAAGATTTAGTGGGTCTACTAGTATGAGTGTTCAAGGGTCCATAATTTTAAGTACTCAATGATCCCATTTTTTCGAAAAATTATTTTGTCATTAGACTTTGTTTTTAATTTTTTGAAAAGCACATTTGATTTACATACATCAAGTAATAAGTTATGGTTATATCTGCAGTTTGAATGCTGTGGTGTAAGCAATAGTGACGAAGGATACAAGGATTGGGTGGCAAACATGTACTTTAACTGCTCAGACACTAACCCTAGTGTGGAGAGATGTGGAGTGCCGGCCTCTTGCTGCAAAATGAAACCGGTAAGACGAAAAAAATGTCAACGTGTGGCAACAGGGAGATTTTTTTTAATAAATAAAGGAATAATGATAATTAAATGTGTAAAACATGAATAAAATTAAGGTAATGTTTACTGAAAAAATTATTTTAAAAACCTATCTTTATCAGCCTGCACGATCGGTTTGATAAGGATATACATGTAGTTATTCAAGGCATACAATGGCACAACATAGGCGTTTCTTAATACGAGGAAATGTTTTTTAACGTGTTGAGAAAAAATAGTATTGGCATAACCATTTTCTATTACAGGGAGAGATGATAAACGTAATGTGCGGATTCGATACAACTAATAAACCTGTGAGTAAACCAACGTGTCAATTATCACGCTTTTTTAAAGTAAAATAATGCATGGGTTGGGTAGCATTCCTATCTTACAATGATCATATATTATAAAGCATCTATAAATGAATAATATATACTATTTCGAAAAATTATAGCACCACACGTGCCTTTACAGAAACGTGACGTTGAGCACCTTATCTACACGAGGGGATGTCTGAAGGGATTTGGTTCTTGGCTGGAAACTCACTCCATTATCATTGGTGCAGTGTCACTAGGAGTTATCATTCCACAAGTAAGCGATAACAGTATTCTAGACCTACAATTTAAAAAATTTGACCATAAATATGCTTCTCTTTTAAAAGATTTTAACCATGCGCTACATGCTTACCCGAACGAAGAAGGTGACAGCTAATTTTTGTTGTAAGGCTCTTAAACTTAAGTATTTTAGCACAAATATGCATCTTGTTACATAAACCATGGTCCTCTATAAAAATAATTTAATAAATGAGACAGATACTAATACTGTTGCTTTTCTGTGGATTTAGCTTTTGCCTTAAAATTTTGTGATTTCCTTATAGTTCCTGGGCATATGTCTGGCGCGGACGTTTGTGGAACAAGTCCGTCTACAAGTTGCCCAGTGGAAACATTAAAGCACGTTCAAGTCATCTAATGGCAAGGAAGTCAAAAACACTGGACATACTTTGTCAACGTTTAAAGGCGATAACGGACGCTGGAAGCTGTTTTCATTAATTTATTTAAACAGATTTTCACATTTACTTTAATATATAGTAGTATGCTGTATTTTATTTGCATCATACATGTACACGTTTGTACTTTAAACGAAGAAGTTGATGAAGCGTTTTTATGCTTTGAAAGTTACTGTGACTCCTAAGATTTTTAAAAGAAAATGCAACTTTTTCAACGTTTAAAAGTCATTATGGATGCAGACCGATAACCGTTTTCATTCAATTTTTTAAAAATACACTTGTTCACATCTGCTTTAATGTAGTATATTTCATCTCATTCGTACCTTAGTACTTTTAACATAACGATCGGTGAAGCGTTTATACTTCCGCCAAGGAAATCGTTTTCACCTTCGTTGGTCTGTTTGTTTGTCACCGACCCAGTCAAAAGTTATGGATGGATTTTGACGAAGTTTTCAGGAATAACTTAAAAGTGAGATGATTTTGGTGGTAATTCGGTGTGACAGGAATTGTAGACCACCAGCAGTCATCCAGACTACCATTCCTGCCACACCACATCACCATCAGGTTCCAGGAAATTTTAAAGGATTCTTAACCATTGCAAGATAGGGCCATTGGTCAGTTTTGCTTATAACTCCACAAATCATGCATTTAATTTTTAATGAGAATTAAACTGATTAGTTGACTGGTGAATGATTGATAATAGAATAACCGAGTTGCCTTGGCGGAGGTCTGCGCTCTTTGAGTGTTTCTAGTTATGCTTCGGAAATTACTGCAACTCCTAATCAAGTTTTTTTTTTTTTTTTTTTTTGAAGAAAATTTAACTCTGTGGAGAAACAGTCGTTTTCCATGTATAATTGGTTCCTTATGACATAAGTTTCTGTATTTTGATGTCAATCATTCCTTAAAGCACGCCGAAGGGTTCTCAACGTAATTGTAACGAAATAACAATGGATAGCACGAACGCCGTTATTTGTATTTGCCAAGTTGAAACGTGTAAAGTTGTAAATGAAGATATTGCAATTATGATACTTTATTTAGACAGCAAATCTTTATTAAGACCTAATATAATGAAATGACCTGTAAGGGATCAAACAGATAATAATCATCCGGAAAACAATATACCTTCACCCGAATAAGTCAATCACATTAAAAAATGCAGAATTACATGAAGCTCGAATCCAAAATATGAAGTTGCAAGTAAGAAGCTAAGCCCTTACCGACTCCAATACCTTTATCGCAAATAACATGATACGACAATATATGATTTCGGGAGGCTCCTGTATATACAAGACAAGAGCAAGAAGGCTCTGGTAGGCTGCATTTTGATAACAGGCATCGTCTGCCGAGACAAGCACACATATGGTGCGCGCGTCTGCGCTGTGAACATATAAGTTTGTGTGCACACAACTATGACCATGGTCCCTAAATAGAAGGTGGATATCACACTTAAATAATGTCTTATATCCATATAGTTCTAATGCCCATTGACTACCATGGCAAACCCTATGTTGACATTGCAAAACTAATACACTGCCAACTTTCTTATTTAGTTATACCATGTACGCAAATATTTATTTCTTATGCTTCTAGCAGAGGTAGCATCCGAGGTAACATCCGAGGTAGTATCAGAGGTAGTCGTGCTAAGCATAAGCTTAAGTTCCTTATATATTTAATGTGTAACCATTATACAACTGATACCTCTATGTATTTTGTTTTAAAAATACCAGATATTAAATTCAAATCAATACAACCATTTGCTAATTCTATGAAGGGCCATAGAAAATTAAAGCATTCGAGGCAGTTTTAAGCTATTTTTGGTCCATTATTGGGTTTTCTCGAAAAGATTTTTAAAGCTAGACAATATGACAAAATATTCTGTTTTCCCAAAGAGCATATTTCGGCACGTGAAAGACGAAATGTACAGATCCAAGTATCACTGTATGACACCCAAGCTTCAAGATATTCCAGATGCCACTTCATTTTTAGCATTGCCAAATAAAACAACTTTTATACAGGGTGCCGTGTGACAAAACACAAGCCAATTGTTACAATTCTTAGTACATTTACAGACCATTATCTTATTGACATAAAACAAATACTGTGCTTCACAAATGGATCTTTGAAAATTATTGTCCCCAATCCGACCTACCTTTTATTTTTGTCTCGTGCAGAGAGGTGCAGAGCGTGAAAGGAAACCTCTTAACCTACCTACAAGTAGCATCTCAAACATTAAAAGATGTACTATGGTGAAAAAAACCTTTACCTTAATAACAGGTGGTGTTAAAAAGTTTTCAAAATGTGCAAAACATTTTAAGACTATACAATGCAGGAGGACCTATGAAATTAACTAAGAAAAACAGTGGGTTTAACAAAAGAGAGCTAATGCATCTGTTTGACATCATAACTCACATTTTACCTCATATCTATTCAAAACAGGGATAGAAGGAAATATATGTGTGTATATATATATAAATATATATGTTTAAATATAATTGTTGGGAACTAATATAGCTGTATGCAAGATTAAAACATTGAAGGGATAATAACTCTTCGTATGAGATCTATATTTCACAATAAAAACATTGTGAATAACTCATAGAAATATAACATAGTCTGTTTTACCACAAAAACGGCAGTTATAGCTATTATTCTGATATCTGAGCTTGTCTTTAGACCACGTGACCTCCATTAACGGCTATACTCTGTTAAAATCTCTTAAGAGATTTTAACAAAAAACCCAACTTTTTAGAAAAAAAAAACAGGGACTACTTTGAATGTAAAAATGGATTCATTAACCATTGGTAAGTATGGGAAAATTGTTGTTTACTCCAGGAAAATTCATTTTTTGGCCGAAACGAAGAGTTATTATCCCTTTAAGTGTATGTATGGGTAACTAATGCTAGAGCCTACCTAGCAGCACAGAAAACATGGCTACCTATAACAACAATCATGAAAGAGAAAACGTGAACACATTGCAAGTGAACCACACAAGTATATGGTACTGGCTCAATGAACACAAACTTACCAACAGATCATTTTGAAAATACATACATAACCAACACTTACTGCAATCTTGGGCTTTTTTCAAACTCCTGAACATATTCCCACAAAACTTATCAACTGAGGTTAGGAGTTGTACTGTTCAATCGTAAAGATGGTTCACAACAAAAAAGAATTTGTCATAAATCAGCAACAGGTGTATATCTAAATCCAAAAAACACTTAAAAATGATATTTGACAACATGAAAACATTTGCCTTTAAAAAGGCATTAAAAGTTAATGGACTGGCATCCAATTAATGAACACATTTACTTTAGGAAGTGTTAATTTTTCTGTATCATTCAAGTTTGTAAAATCAAATTAGCTACTGAACTTGAAAATAATTGCACAACAAAAAACAATGAAACACATTTAAGTAGGTACAAATACCAATGTACTGAATAACAAATAAAATATTTCATAACATAAGTTTATATTATAAAATATATTCCATTTTTAAAACCATTTGAGTGGTTTCGTATGCCAATATATTCGAGCAGACCATCAAAAATTGCCTGCCACGAAGAAAATCTAGACATAATCCTTGAAAATGAAACATTTGCAATGCATATCCATAATTCAGCAATACATAGTTGTCATAAAGAAAGCAACTTGAAGATTTTGAGTCTTATATAGGCTACAAAAATCTTTTAACTGGCCACCTACCTTTTAAATGCTTGCATATGACTAAATTATGAATTTTCACATTTTCTTATTTTTTATCTTTATAAAGAAATTGCACCAAAAATACATTTCAGCTGCCCATTATATATAGATGACAGTAACAAATACACTATTCAGTTGCTTTATTCCAAAATTACATTTGGCTCAATCAGATTATTTAAAATCTACATATACTCTTAATTAAACAATAATTAGTGAAGTATAAATATATACTACCTATACAAATAATGAAAGTTCAGTCTCATTCCTAAAAGATACAGAGTGATCTTTAAAACAATCATCCTTACCTAGACCATACCTTTACTTTCTTATTTCAATAATGAAAAGACAATAAAGAGATGCACTAAAGTATGAATAAGGCTCTGCTTCTAATGTTCATACCCTGTGTACTTACATAAATGTTTAATATTTCACTTACCAGAAAAAGTTTACACAGTTATTACAAAGGCTGAGAGTGTGAGGTGATGGGTTTAGACATTCAACATCAGGGGTCACTTCATTTGCACTCTTCACAATATTCAATATAAATCGTGTCATCAATTTCTTCAGTTAACCTATGAAGCCAAATGCAAATGTGCATTACACACATTGTTTCAACCATGTAAACCCATCATCAACATAATTAGATATCTTTCTTTTCTTCTGGGACAACAAGAAGCAACTTCTGTAAAGTGAGAGTGCAGGCATCTGAAACAAGAAAATTCAAGTTTTATTAATTTTTTTTTTTTTGTATTTCACAAATAGAAAATTCATTTCCACCTTTTTGGATAAGGAAGAAAGATGCTCCTAATGGAGCATAAAAAAGACCTGAAATTCATTACAATGACTAAAAATTTTATCAAATTTTCTATGACTTGATCACACATGAACATAATCATTAATAATTTTTTTGCAGAGTGAGAAACTGAAATCCCATACCAATTTTACTCTGAATAGCCTTTGGTTTGGTCTTCCAGCCAATGAATATTAAATAAACTGGAATTCCAGTAGCGATGATAAGGCATCCAAATCCTGAAATTGGTGGAAAAGGTCTATGATTCTTTGAACTAATATTACAGATTATGCTATTATTTGAATTAAATAGGTCGGCTGACCTGATAGCTTTAAATTACATAAATCTGTTCTAAGCACGAATGAACATGAATCACTTTTGATGAAAATCAAACTGTGGTAAACCTGGAGTAAGGCACAAAAATAGATAAGAACACATTCCCCACTGTAAATCTTTCCAAACTTCATGCCACTGCTATTGTTACCAAATTATAAATTCATAAGGCATGTCCTACAATTTTTCACTTGTGTATTTGTATTTATTTTTTAACTTCAAGGTTTGAAGAAACATAAGGAGATAAATATCAACTGACCAGTTTCTACTGGGCTGGCATACAGAGGCACCACGACCAGGAAAACAGAGGCTGCTGTGTAAATTATTGGCCACACTAAGCTCACCTGTAAGGTAAAAAGAAAATAAAAAATAAATCTTCACATCAGTAGAGGTCACCTGAAAATGTAAGGATGCCATGTCATGTACCATTTTGTTACAGTAATTACTGTTGGCAAGTTGAATAAACATCAAAAAGCAATTCATTATGCACATTAATGCCCAAAATATCAGAACTGACTATGTTATCAAAATTCAGATTAAATTATTCTTTGTTGAATTGTTTGTAATATTTTACAATATATGGAAATCTATTTATAGCTTTAAAGTGTACCAAACAGGTTTTTTAACGTACCTTAATCGGTCTGTTGGCATCTGGCCAACTGTACCTGAAGTACAGCAAGGCCACCACAGAGAGACCAATGGCAAGCCACGTTACAAATCCAACATAGTTTATGAGAGCATACATGTCAGTGGACACCAGGTAACACAAAGTGGTCAGTGCCTGAAACGAGGTACATTATCTGATCAATAAATTTATCATAACACATGGCCATCTTTATCAGCAGCTTCTAAATGCAAAAACAGAAAATGCCACAGTATACTGATGATCCAAAGTTGAGGATACCAAACTGCCTGCAGATATATCAGAGTCAGACAGGAATCAAATTACAACCTTTTTCGTTATCAGTTCAGTGACCAAGTGCATTAAATATGATGACTAAATACAGCTCATTTTGGATCATCTTCGCACATTGTTAAGATGCAGTCATACTTGGTTGAACCTTTTAACCTACCACAAACAGGACTGCTGGTGCAGGGGTCAGTCGGTTTATTTGTACTGTGCTGAGGATCATGGGCATGTGTCCTTCACGGGAGCCAACATAGAACAATCTGAAAATTACAGATCAAATTTAATATTATAATCCTAAATGACCAAGTGCTAAAATCTCACATAATAACTAAAAATGCTGATATAAAAGGTATACTTAAAATTTTCCCAAAATCGTATCCTGCAAAGCTGCTAATCCTTCCCTATTCAGACCTGAAAACTAATAAACACCTCAAATGGAAGAACCTGGCATCAATAGTTCCTCCTGAAATGTACAGGAAAACATGACTGACCACTCGTTTTGTATATAATTAAACTAAAAATGGAATAAAACATCAAATCCAAGTGCAGGGAAAGCTCCAGCAATGATTCATGGAGAAAACTGCTTTTTTTCCTGAGAAAAATTAACTTTGGTGGGTAAATCCTATATAGAGTACCCTTTTTCATCATTGCTAAAATTCATAAATCTGTGAAAATATTAATGCCGTTAAAAATGAATTAGCTCAGAAATCATTGGCATTTAGCTCTAAACAATGGTGTTTAATTGCTTGATAATTAGAAAATGGTCTCTTAGCAGGCTGAGATTAGTAATAATTCAATTATATTCAAGCGAGGAACCTTTCCAATAAAAAAACTTCACAGCCACATCAGTACCTTGGTGTGATTTATCTCACAGCAGAGCAGTCTCTTAAGGAATAAAGAAGCTGATGCACTCTCTAGAGACACTCCTTTCTTATCCTAGCTTCATTAAAAAGAGTGCAAACATAGTTCTGATAGCAATGGGTGACATGTAGTTCCGTTTCGCAAAGTTGTCAAAACTTCCTGTGACATGGGTGTTCTTAAAATGCTACAGAAATTGCATCAAAAGCAATTATAATTCCATCATCTCTTTTTAGATTTTTTAAAGGCATCATTCTAAAAGAGGAAAGGTAATGAAGACTGATAGCATTTTGAAAGAAAAAAGAAGCTTTGGAGCAAAAAAATGTTGGAGAATAGCAAATTTATGCTATATATTTAAGGCAAAGTGATATTTCTTTCCCTGTGTACCATACCAAAGTTAGAGCGCTACAAAACCTCTTCCCTGTGCAGCTTTCACAATCAATCCTTTGCAATATTACCCATTCTAGTAGAAGTACAGTATGACATGGTCCAGGAACCACCTCCCAAAACACATCTGGTGTCTTACCTGGCAGTGGTGAACATGATGCCATTGACACCTCCAAAGGTAGACAGTGCTACAAACACTGGCATGATCCACCACATCACTCCATACAGACGTTGGGAAAATGTCTGAAAACACAAGATAGATGAAACAATATCATTATAACTAGCATTTGTCTACACTAATTTAAGTAAACAAATAATAGTTACTGGCTAAATAGCACATGATGTAGAGAAAAATTCTTGCCAAATATGTTAGACTACAAAATGATTAAAGAATACAAAAAATTCCAATGTAAGCCTGAGTGGATACATTTTTAGCAGATGCTATTTTTTAATAGCATATATATATATATATATATATATATATATATATATATATATACTGCTGACAAAGGGGACAATAAAATTTCTACATATAAATGTAGGTCTAACAAAACATACATCAGATTATATTCTTATTGTTAAATTTTTGCATATTAGCATTTAAATGTATTCGTTCAAAAGAGGTTTACTCCTAGTTAGCCCTGTTGGAAAAAAAAAAAAAAAAACTAATGGCTAACAATTGAACATCCAGGTTCAAAAGTTGAACAAATTTCTTGGATTCTCATTAAGAAGTACTTCAATGCAAGGCACTAACAGATGATGATGAACACGTGTCATAACCACAGGGCAGGTATTGATCAAAAACTACTTAATGCAAAAATGGAATCTCACATACAAGAACATGAAAATTGCAATAGATATATATTTTGAATTCCCTGTAACCAAATAAAATTTCACAAAATGTATGCAGATGAGACAAATGAGCCAAAAATGGTTACCTTCCAACTTTTTGTGGCTTTATAAGGTCAAATATGGTAAAATGCTTATAAGTAACTAGTATAAACAAAACATGCTGGACAGATTATTTCTCTACGTATCAGGTGAGCCTACTCATCCACAACAGCCACCTGTAGATGTAGGAAAGACAACATAAGTTGTGCCTTATAGTGTTACCTGACATATTTATGCCTACTTTGATATCAAGAAATAGCAATCAAGCACTAAAACTGCAATAAAAAAAACATTTAAAATTGAGGTTGTTACCAAAGTATCTTGAAATGGATCAGAGTGAGAAGACATTGAATTTAAGTATACTTAGTTTATATAAAACATGGGTAAATTTAAGAAACTTATGATTCAAACGGAATGAGATTTTTCTCAACAACCGGAGTTAACCAAAAACAATATACTAGGTTAAAGCAGCATTAAAAAATACCCTTCCATCATATTATTCAAATCTAATGTACTGTAAGGTTTCTGAGCCTGTAGATAATTTTTTTATGTCATATTTATTCTCCTGTAGACGTGACATTGCAAATTTGACCTTAATGTCATTGGAGCAATAGACATGCATTTACAGTTTATGACATGAGAGTGTAAGGATCCGGGAGTATAAGGGAGGGAGGGGGAGGGGGGCAACAACCTCTGAGTGTCCTTGACAACCTGGCTGACAATTGTTTATAAAATATTACAAGGTACAGACACACTTGTTGACCTGCTCTTAAACACATGAGGTTTTGTGGCATGTGGACCTTACCACTGCCACGGCAGATGACTCCAGGAGTTCCTTGGGGGTGACTGTGGTGAAATAGGCTACATTGGCAAGAACATACACAAACATCACCAGGATACAAGATATCCATATGGCTCTAGGGAGATTCCTGAAATATACAAATAATTTTCATTCATAATACCGTAACGTGACCGTTCATACATTTATAAATAGTGAAATTGAATGTATTTTATATCTTTCCTCCTATTGCTTAATTTTTGCTAGTGCTAATTAAATTAGTGATTTTTACAAATCTTCTTCAGAAAAAAATGCAATATTGCACTGCTAACCTACACAGTCAAGACTAAAATCTTTCTTAAACAGGGCAACACTTTGCCTGGATAATATAATGTTGAGGTGAAGATTTTTTTGCCATTTCTTAAAAGAAGCAAAGTTTTCAATAAACTTACTTTTCGGGATTCTTTAACTCCTCTGTCACACAATTTGCATAATTCCTGCAAAGAAATTACATTGATCTGTCTCAAACAAAAGATCAAGTGAACACAATTTCAGTTGCTCAAACAACACATCAAATGATATTTCAATAAAATTAGTTTTTGATATAAAATAGAGTGCTTACATACCACCTCAGTTAGTTTTTAAAGGCACTTTCAACTTTCATTTTAAAACAAATGAAATTGAATGTTCAAACAATTTATTTATTGTGGCCTGGATTTGTATGCTGTGCCTTAAGGATAACCACAGACAATAACTGTTAGGCAGAACTACCTATTTATTCTTTGACCGCATACTAATGCCATATATTGACATTAAAAAAAATTAACTTGGAGTGACTTAATAAAGGTTAAAAAGCAGGAACAAAAATATCAAATATCATAAAAACTGTCACAACTGTTCATCGTATGACCTAAAACCAGGCCCACATCCTTCTTCAAAATAATAAAACTAAGGTTTTAAATAAAAATCAAACTTATTCAAGGTTAAAAAGCAGGAACAAAAATATCAAATATCATAAAAACTGTCACAACTGTTCATCGTATGACATAAAACCAGGCCCACATCCTTCTTCAACATAATAAAACTAAGGGTTTGAAAAAAAAATCAAACCTTTGTAGTAATGCAGAGGTTGTGTATCATTTTGGTCCCCTTCTAGTAGTGAAATGATGCATATAAATAGGAGTTCCAAGTGGTAACAAGCAGACACATAAACAGTATGCTGTTCCACCCTCACTGTGTACCAAAATTAAATCTTTCTGTCATCAAATGCTAATAATTTTAAGGGTTACGTTTAACCAGCTGATTTACAGGAATAAAATTTCCACTTTTATCAAAACATTTTTAAATGTTGCACTTTACATTCTTGTATTCAAATACTGAATCTTTGATTTAGCCAATCAATCCCAATCACTAATAATAAGAAGAAGAAGCTTTACTTATTAGTATATTAGTGGACACTTCATATAGAGAACAGAAGAGTGGTAAGGTCTGGAGTTTTTTTCCCTCGGTTCATTGGGTACAAACAGAGAAGGGTGCTATCATCATTATCTATTCATTCTGTGAAATAAGGACCATGCTGGGCCACAACATGAAGCAAGTTTGCTGCCCTGCAATAAGGAATCAATCATAATAATAATAAACATGTTTGTTCAGTTTGTTCTACCAAATATATGGTCCTGGGAACTGCAAAAAGAAACTGCATCCCATGAGTCAAAGATCAAGAAAACAGTTTAAATATTTTTACTAAGTGTGTAAGTTCTGATCATATCCCGAGGAGAGTGTTCATAATAATGAGTTCTCATTAACTGAACACCTGTCTAAGCTGAGGGTTAAGTTACCTGGTTACTGCAGTGTTTGCTACATTAGGAGCACGTGTGTTCAATTATAAGATCTCATTAGGTGACTAAAAGATAACCAATAACTTTCAGAACAGTATGTATAAACTTGGAATGAAATATGAGAAGGAAATCATAGTACAAGTCCACATAGAAAACATACCAGCACAGGATAAAGCACTTTATCTTATATAATCAAAAATCCTGCCACAGTGAGTGCTATGGGAACTGACCAAATCTACCTGTTGATCTGCTATTTTTTCAGCAGCCTGCATGCTAAAATAGTACACATGCCTTACATGGTTTTACACACCAACTGAAAATTTTATAAGCGCTAAAATTATGAAATTTAAAAGATCCTCTTTGAGATTTTAATAAAATATATTAATTTGTTATGTTTCCATATCTGAATTGTTTTTTTAATAAGCTGTTATATCAACAACTGACATAACAGAAAAGCAAAGCAAAGAAACCATGTCAAACAGAAAGTTCCATGATATAAAACTTACAGGGGAACAAACATTCTGATTTTTTTGTCAAGAAAAATAGTAAACAGAATGCAGTAAAAAAGGCCCTCCTCTGAACCACATAGCCATACCATTCAGTTTTATCTGACTTCTAATAATCTTTTTTCGTTTGATAATACTTCACTTGTACTGCAAATTCAGATAGATTGATACCAATTGTACTCATATAGGAGGCATATAGGGTTTCTGGCCAGACTTTGATAAACTGTTATTTTCTTACACCTGTCAGATAATATTTCAACCTGCTCTGTTTCAGCTTTTGTTCTGCTGCATCAAAGCAAGTAGCTATATTTTATGTTCTTAGGAACTGGCATGAGCCTATTGCTATTTCTCACATCTAATAAAAATCCATCACAGGCCAAATACATTATAAACAACAAAAAAGTGGACATTAGTGTGTCTACTCCTTTTTGCAAAATTATTCAAAAACCTTGTTGGAGTGTAGATTAATCCTATTTGGTTGGACAACTGCTGTCTACATATGAGAAGGGGCCATTCAAGTTTAAGCAGTCATGATATGCTATAAACTTAAATGACTGTGCTCACCTTAATTGTTAAGCTGGGTCACATTTTGCCTGGAGACATATGAGACAGTCTACCCATATGGTCCAATAGCTACAGCTGACCTTTTATGAAAATTTCAAAACATTACAGCGGACATAGATTAATTCAAATGAAGAAATCCACGATAAGATCAACTAAAATGATTGAAGTTTGTAGTTTAAATATGTCCATGTAAAAAAAAAAAAAAAAGGTAAATAACCTGTAAAAATTGTACAATTACCATTTTGGTTTTGAAGATTTTTAAGTTTTCTAGATCTTTGTGTCAGGGAGAAAGCACACTGATAGCAAACCGTAGAATGAATGTTATCACTGTATCAAAATGGATAATATTATGCAAAATATGCATTATGATACCTATTGCACCACCAGCAGTGTCTATTAACATCAAACAACAAACTTAAAACTTGAAATCTATTCAAACACAAAATACATTTTGGCCTATTCAACAAATTGAGCTCCAAAGCACTTAACAGTGAACTGTCATAGAGACAGTCCTCTTAGAGATAAAGGTTTGATATAACTAAGGTCTGTCGTGATGAAGGTTCTTATTCTGAAATACATGTACAGATGGAACGCAAAAACAAGAAATTTAATGAAAATAAACTTAATTAAAAGTAAAATTAAAATTACCATGAAATTGCAATTGTGAAATTGTGTATTAGTAAATAATGTAATACAGGGCTCAAAATTAATGGTAGCAAATGCTACTCAAAATTGTGAAACTGGGGCAAAATGCTATTAACTTTAAATTTTAGTAATGTACTGTAACTATAATAAAACTAATTTCCTGGCACTAAGTTGCACCTGTGCATGCTTTCCAAAATTTCACCATTTTGTACAATGTGAGTGATGAGCAAGCTTAATGAACTAGAAGTTAAATTTGAAGCACCTAGTTATCAAAATGAAGGAGTCTATCTTAATTCTTTTTCAGAATACTAAATCTTTGTCATAATGAACCCATTGGAATACCGTACATTGTGCCTTCAAAGAAGTGGCCCTTCATCAATGCAAACCCCAGATTTTAGAGGTTAAAAAAAAGTTGATTTTAGCAATTTTTGGCATTTTTCAGAATAGCAAATCTTTGCTGTAGAGAATCTTTGAATCTATGAAAGAGCAGGTCACAATACACATCTAATAACATTTAGACCAATTTAGGAAGAAAGACTTAAATGACTGAAGTTATTCAAAATCAGGACAAAGCTTCTGCATCTAAGTCCATGTGTATACAATGACTTTATACAGATAAGACCATGGATGATATGACTAGGGTTGCATGACTTCGCACTGCATTACCTACCATGTTCTAGATTCATCAAATACTTTATAAGGCACATAGAGCTAGTAACTGTTGGTGGTAACCAAGACGAGAAACATCAGCTACTTAACGGTAATAAATGGTAATATATTACTGACGTGTTCTACCCAGTCTTAGTAACCAATTATTTCTTTATTTAAAAATGCAAGCATCTAATGTGAATATATATCATTATATCACTTTTAAATTAAGTGCTTTTTGGGGGCATTCTACAGAGATGCTAGGGGGCTATGGAATTTTTTCTCCAGTTTTTAGCAGGGATAGGGAGCCAGTACCACCATTTTTTTTTACTGAAAAGTGTCTGGCTTTGCACATATCTGACTTACGCCCATTTACCTATCCTGAACTTCAAACTGGTCTATCAAAAACCAATGCAAGGTTTTCCAGTTTTCAAAGTTATTACACCATATATCACTATTTTTAAATCTTATCTTACCAGCCATTGTATGCAAACAGCCCTGAGTAGAAAGCAAGAGATGCTGCTCCAACATCATTGGTTGTATTCTCAAATGGAGCCAGAAAATTTTCATAGTACCCTGTAAGATGAATAAAAAAATTTAAATCATGAAAAAGAGAAAACAGTGAAATGAGGACTACATATTAATTTGTCTGTTAAGTTAATTTTGATCTTGTCAGTTGTAAAACACAATATTCTAACTTACTTCATCAATAGGGAGGATTTTATACCATAGTACATAAATAAAGTATATAATTGGGCCCAGCATAGTAACAAAACCTCAAAATTGGGTTGTGTGGCAGGGTTTGGGGGTTACATTGTGTTTTTGGATTGTAGTCCATGTTGTGGTTAAAAGCATCATACCTGTCCAGGATTTGGGAGAAAAACTTGGGCAATATGAAATGAAGTCATGAATCTTATCTATACATGAATAGACACAATAATTGATCAAAGATTAACTAAAGTAACCTTAATCTGTTTTCGCTCAATACAACTATGGCTTTCAGTGCAAACCCGATTGCATCATTCAATATGGTGATAAAAATCAATAATCTGACTTGTGGCTACATTCTGGTCTAACTTTAGATTAGATTTAAATTAAATTCACTCTATGAAAGATGATGCAAGTACATTCTTGGACATGGTGGAATTGTTTTATTCAGTACAACACAACAGTACTCTAAACGGTTGAAGAAGTATGTTTCACAGTTTTATAGAAAGATGGATTTGATGTTTATGTCTTGATTTTCACTATACCCTGATATTTTATAATCATACAAATTGACAGCTTGTAGATTATTATACTGAATTTATAAATTTAATGTTCATGCAGGTTTAAATCTTAACAAAAAGAAGATATTGCAAATGTGGAATAAAATTTCCTAAAAATTATTGTATTACAAACCAGTTTTATACTTCAATATATAGTGAAAAATACTTGATCTAGTATAAACAGCAGGAATGCCTTAACGTAAGCCTATCGAAAACTTCCAGGGATTTGTATTTGTTTCATAACTTAGCAATAAAAAAGATTTATTTATATATTTTAACTTCTTTTTTATTATAGACTTTAGAATACTTTCAAGATCATAACTGGGTGCAACCAGCTAGCATTTACATAACCTTAGGAACATATGTAAATAATGTCTGTGCATGTCCCACCTAGTAAACTCTAAAAAAATATATATAGTGAAAAAATGAAAAAAAATGGATAACAAAGTACAATTATTTTATTTAAAGCCAATTTAAAATAACTCTTTTTAACAGAAAAAAATATACTTCAAATAAAATATGTCATATGGGAGCACCAAATATCCACCAAATGACAAACAATGCCCTTTGGTATTCAAGTTATGCTATTTAAAGCAATTAGGTGGCATTTGGTCAGTTTTTTTGGCAAAAATTTGACTTCAAATCAATGCATCTTTAGGAGCACATTTTGAATTTATAAGTACCTGTATGTTCATAAATGAAGGAGGTCTTCCAAAGCTCATTCAGCATTTGCCCATGTACAGACACTTTTTACCCATGCTAGCTCGGGCCTACCCAACTACCAGACTCGACACCTAAGGATCCTGAATTAACCGGTATATCGGACCACACTACCCGTTTTCAAGGTGTGTTTCAGATCGCATTTCGGAGTATCATACTCCAGAACAAATTTTGTAGGACGACTGCGGGCTCATCCACGCTCGGCTGAACAACCTTAAACAGTACTCTTACTTTAGAGTACTCTATTTCATTGTCTCTATGGGGGTGTATGGGGACTTTACGACATTCGGTTTGAATGTTTTAACCACTTTTGACAGGGCTTTTTTGCATTGTATTAGATTAATGTGGCAGTCTAAGGTTCATCTAGGTGGTTTTCAAATTTAAAATCATATAGCGATTAAATACGACAATCGTTTACTATCCAATCAAGGTGACAGCCGAGCGTGGGCTCATCCTGTCGGTGTTCTGACTGATACTCCGAAATGCGATCTGACACACTCCTTGAAAACGGGTAGTGTGGTCCGATATACCGGTTAATTCAGGATCCTTAGGTGCCGAGTCTGGTAGTTGGTTAGGCCTGTAGCTTTTTGTCCACAACATTGATAAATGTACTTATAAATACTACCAGAAAAGTATTCAGTAGGTAGATACTGCTCACTAATTTGACATACTTTACATACATGTGGAGTGATCAAATTAGAGAGCTGATGTCAGATGTTCCCTGGTTAAGCCTTGTAACTACTTGGGAAACCTGATATTGCCCAATTTTGACCAGCAGACATTAATTTCCCAAACTAACATGAGATATGAGGCAGTTATACCCAATAATTACCCCAGTACCAGTATAATTTATAAGGTAGTGAAAATGCAAGCTTCATGAATCAGATCGACCTACTTTTTTTTTATAAATCAGGCCTACTTAATAGCTTAAGTCAATAACCTCAATTTTAGAAAAACCATTTACGTCACCTATAATGTAGAAGGAAGAGAATGCAAACAAGCCTAAAGGGACAACGTGTAATATTTTGAATATTTGTTAAGCACATCAATTGTTTCTCATTGAACTGATTTTAGGACAAATAATACACTTAGAAAAATTCTGAACAGACATGTATTAGTAGGAGTATTTCGTGAGAAAATCATAATTACAAAGTCATTTTGTTAAAATTACTCACTTAAATTGATTTTAAATTAACTTTAATAAAAAAAAATAGTTTCATCTTGTTTACCAGTGAGATGATTCTATGTGAAGAAAAGAATCCTTACCTCTTCCAATCTGTACAAATCCAGTGATGATGATAAGAATCAAGGCAAGCACCTTGGCATAGGTGAAGACATCTTGCACACGTGTCGCCCACTTTACATCAAAACAGTTGATAAAAGTTAGAGTTACTGAAATGCAAAAAAATTGGTTTTTAAATAACCAACTGTAAATACAAATGGTATTCACTCTCCTTCAAATTAAAGGTAATGAAAACTGAAAAAAAAATTTTTCGGTATGTTTGATAATTATGTTACTTCTTTAGTGGCAGTGTTTTTGGGATGATGTGAGATATGTGCAGACATACGTGCCATTTAGACTGAGAAGAGCCGAGTGCTAGCTGGTCCAAGGCCTAAATATGGCGGACCTCCACGGAAGGAAGACCGTAATGGTCCCTATGCCTCTTTCACGCCTCCCCACGTGTCCTCCCTGCAGGGGCACAGTAATTAAATCTCATCTGAATTTGACCAGTCGAGGGACGACATGTGGGGAGGCGTGTGAGAGGCGTGTGAGAGGCGGAGAGACCATTACAGGATTAAGCGGTCTTTCTTTCATGTAGGTCTGCCATATTTAGGCCGTGGACCAGTTAGCACTTAGATCTTCTCATTCTGAATGGCCCCATACATTGAAAAAATTACTTACGAGTACATAAAATAGATTTTAAAAAACTATGTGCGACAATGTAATATCTGAGCTAAAAGTATCAAAGTAAATGATATTGAAAGGCAATGTAGTCACATTGTCGTATTTCATCCCCATTCAAACGATGCACCTGTATGCCAATATATAACCTGCTGTTGAGAAACAATTTAAGAATACTCAACAGACCCATATGCTATACAACGAATGTTGCCCCACATATTTAATGCATCTGTTTTGTGAGGGTCAACCTACTGCTGTGTGAATAAGTTATAAGCTTGGCATAATAATACTGCTAATGAACCATATGAATAAACACTCCCTACCCAAGACTGACCAAATAATTCATACACCATTTTAGTTTTCATTCATTTCAAGTTTTGTGCCTGTACATTCCCTTTGATCTTTTCTTCAGAACAATGTCCAGTGTTTGGTTCTAAATGCTATATTAATCAGGATAATGGTCTAGTTTTGTATTTCTGCTTGGATTCAAAATCAATGTAAATGGTTCAAGAACATGCACTGCAACAATTTCTGTAAATCTGTTACTGGTACCACTCCTTAATTTTGGAGGGAAACCATCTTTTATGTTGCCATGTGGAATGGCTGTATGCAATTACGTATAGAGACCACTACCTTTTTGTGCAAAGGGGAAATGAGTCAGGTCCACCTGATAGCTACATTCAACAACTGGGATTTTCAAGTAAAAGAAAATAATTTACTTCACCGATAAGCAGTTTCACAAAAGACCTTCTAGTACATTTTAATTATCATTACAAAAACATGAAATTATCTCTGACAAAGACATTTGACATTTGAGTATTGCATTCTTATCTTCTTTATTTTGAAGTGTAAAGTTAAGAAATGCCAAGATGATACCAGACACAGTTCAACTGGTATGGTGTAGAAAGTGTTATCAGCCACTGTCCTTTTTTTTCTCCTTTATTGCTTGGTAGTTCTCACTTTGTGGTGATGAGTACAACCATAAAACTGCATCAGCTCAGGATAACTTCAGGTCATGGGGATTGAATTTGATACTTGAACAAACTGTACTACAGGGCTGCCTGCATCAGTGGTGTATTTCCTGACAATGTATGTAATTTTAGAGAAAAGGAGGAGGCATCAGCTTTTAGTAGTGTGATTACTTAACATCTATGGAAGGGGATACGAGTATTTTGAGATAAGGAGGCTGGTCCATTGCAGCAGTTTACATTAGTGGAAAGGGGATGAGGACTATACTAAAAGGGGAGGAGTTTCTGTCTGGCCCAGTAAATTGTCATGCAAGAAACCATGCCATCTGACCATGACTGGTTTCATTCACCAACTTCATCTTTATTTGGAAGTACGTGCGCGTCTTAGCTAAACTATATCTTGATGTTTGTGTACAAATACATCTAAAATGACCCTGACACAAGTAGTTTTCAATGTAACTGTAAAATCCTGCTAAAAAAAAATCAAATAAAATTATCTGGATACTGCCTTATTCACATCATATGGATTGTGTTGACCACCAAATTGATCAAAACTTGGATAAGAAGTCCAGCATGAGGGCAATGGTACAGTTGAGGACAGATGGCATCACCTCTAACGTGACAAAAACAATAAGACCACTGCATAAGAAAGTCTTCATACCACATGTAAAAATAAATGAATGAGGTGGGTGATAAAATCATGGCTGTTTGATGCTGTACTGTATGTATGATATTACAGGTAATATGGAATAAGAGATGTACTTGGACGATAATATGAGTACTAGTTGATATTACAAATGTTACCCCTAGTATATAGCAGAAATTTATCCACATATTTCATATTAAATACTTACATATACAGAAGGCTGCCAACAATCTGACAGCAGATGCAGGCTGTTCACAGTCAGGGAAAAGAGGCTCTATAATGTAATTGGCAAATGTCAGTGATACAATTGCTGCTGAACAGGGACGAATGATCAAACATTCAACCCACAGTCTTAGGAAGGCTAGAAATGGTCCAAATGCTTCAAATATGTAAGCATAATCTGCACCAGACTTCTTGATCATTGTTCCTAATTCGGCATAACAATACGCCCCAATTAGTGAAAATATACCACATAATGCCCAGATGATGAGAGACAGTCCAACACTGCCTGCTTCAGCCAGAACTCCTTTGGGGCTAACAAAGATGCCAGAGCCTATAATGCTGCCCACAATAATAGTACAAGCATTAACCAAGCTGATTTTAGGTTTCAACTCTATTTTGTTGTTACTTTCCCCACTACTTGCTGCTTCTGATGTGCTAGCTACATCCGCCGACGGTTCCGCCTGGTCAACTGCAGAGTATTCTTTCTGATTAGCAGACATATTGCCGACTGGAGACCGATTCTTCCGATCAAATATCTGATCTGTACAAAATCCTGATAATAAACAGCAGTGTGCTCTGTAGTTTAATTCATACACTTCGTCAATCCTCCGTTAGTCTTTTTTCTACAATGTAAGTGGTCTCAATCATGAATTTTCACCTATATCAAATAGAAGCTGCTACGTACTTGTACACAAAGCAACCACGTGTGTCAGTGACCGAGTGCTGTATATGTCTGTAGGCATGGCGGCATAATGCTAAGAGGTCGTTCCAATATTGGATAGAAATTGAATAGAAATTAGATTATTCTTTGGACTTCGATTCTAAGCTTATTACATATTTTTTACTATAAAAATTATATGTGGAGAATGTCTCCTTGAGCAGAGTAATCAATTATAACAGATTAAAACTGTACGTGTTTTCAAGATATTATATTCATTGTACCTGCTCAACCCAAATAATGGACGAGTCAATGTCGACGTAGTGACGTGAGCAGTTAGCGCTTGTGTACAGAAATGATGAAATACGGGAAATACTCCTTGAAAACAAATGTCATAGAAAAAGCGAAAGAAATTCATTATATTCATTATTCATTATAAGGCTTTAGTTGACAAGATTACAAATGAAAAATAGCTTATTTAATTTTTGCCTTTGAAGGTTCTCTACCTGTTGACATTAAAAAAATCCCCGCTTTTCAATAAAAGATAGTAAGGTAAACTTAATTTTGTCACGAAATTTCCCGTAAATTGGACTTTGCATTCATACAATGATTTTTAAAAATGTTTCCGATGTTTAATGGATTTACTCCAGTTAAGTACAAATGTTACAAATTATTGGCAGATCCAAAAAGGGAGGTTGGCCACAAAAATTCCCATGTACTAGTAGCCATGTATCCATTTACTCATAAAGTACTAATTGATATTAGAGGTACATATAACTATTAGATTCTTGTGTTCTCTCTGTGGGCTATACATGCTCCAAGAAGCTTAAGTTAGTAACGGTACAGACAAAACTATTACAGGTAAAGGGTGGGGGGGGGGGGGGGCAAGGTGATGTACAATACTCCTCTTGCATAAGCTTTGTATTTAGTGAAATAAATATAGAGAAATTTTATACAAAACGTTTCTCAAATATCCCTTGTCCCTGCACTTGAATATGCTGAAGTTGGCAAATTTTATTTTTCACTAATTTATGTAGTGATATATTTATCTATTGGTATGTATGTTCAATCATAACAGGCATAGCAGAGAAATAATTTGTGCACTGAATATAAGAAAATGTAAAAAGTAGTACTAATGCATGGGTTTTAATGCTAAAAGGGAGGAGTAGTGGTTAAATTTAAGGTCTAACTAATAGATTAATATGCCACCCTGTCATGTACATTGTAAAAACATAACAAAAAACAACCACGATGTACAAAATTTATTAATCTACACACACTGCGGACAAACAAATCCACAGGAATAATTTTCAATACATAAAGCTTTGGTTTAATTAGTAATGATTTATATGAGCAAACAATTACAGTTAAGAAAATACATATACACAAACAAAGCATCAATATATACAGTAGAGAGAGATGGATGACATGCACTTAATGAATAAAGGCACTTAGAAAATGGATTATATCACTTATCTCCACAAAGGAACGTATATATACCAATAATTATATTGCTAGTAGACTCAATTAGATTTTTTTCTTTTTGTATTTCTGTAAAATGCTGTTATTGCTCAGGGTCTGACTAGTCTACTACCCCTGTATATATGTAGTAAAATGCATAATCAAAATAAAACGCTTATTTGAAAAATGCAGATAGATTAAAGAGTCCACTTTAAATACATCATAATTTCCTGACAGGGAGAAAGTTTTGTAGGCAATTTAAATAATTAAGATACATCGACACCAAAAAAATTAAGCCTTGGAAATACACTGTATGCACCATTTTCATATTAGAAAGAGCCAAGTACAAATTAAAAGTCTATAGACACTAAGTAAAGTTTAAATGTCCCTTTTGACTGTAATTTAGTACAATTTGAAATTAGTGCAATTGCTTACATCTGTCTGCCATGACAGTATTTCAAGTAGGTAATTTAATTTCTGATGTACTTGTATTGAAGCTAATTCACCAATGCTAATTAGCTAACTGCATTTTCCAAAATTTCAAGAACTTTTAAATATTAAGATAAGTTGTAAGATTCTAAAAAAATATACATACACTAAATTTGACACCACTTAAACAATGATACCTTGCTGTAGTTTTTGATTAATTCAAATATGTTACTACCAAAATATTTGAGCTCTTAAAACAATTCAACAGTACATTGCATTTTATAGTGGTATCTGCTTAAACTTCCGTAACAAAATTGAATGCTCTTTGTCTAAAAAAATTCATTCTCATGGGTAAGATATGTCATAAGCTTTCCTTTAAAAAATCTCAAAATATATATTACTTTAAAATTTGAGTGCATTCATACTATGAACAAAAATAATATCACTTTACTTTATATATATATATATATATATATATATATATATATATATATATATATATATATATATATATACTGTTCTTACATGAAGTATAAAAAATATTTTGGTTTACATTACAATAATTGCAATGTGTTACAAATATTGTCACATTAACATATTTGTATATTTACATGTGTACATAAATAATTCACGCTGTGCTCAGATTTGAAAAAGAAGTACATAATAAAGAAATAACATTGAAAGGACAAGTAAAAGAATTTAGAGTGCAGTGAATACTCTCATAATTAAATGTAGACTCAAATGGACTTGAATTCTTTTAAAGAACACTGAAACTTTTTCCTCCACCCTATCAATGGGTTTTTATCCATAACAAAATTGGACATTCTGGAAGGGAGTGGATATCCTTCATACCCTCTGCCAAGGTCATCAAGTGCTCCACAACAACTTAACTTCACACATGATCTTCCATGTGAGTAAACATAAAAATGAGAGCATCATGTGAAAAACTTGTGAAACAAACCCACTCTAGTTACAATGCTGCAAACACTGAAAACACCTGATTGCTGACAAAGGGTTACATCTCAACTTATTGCATACAGAAAAAAGCAAAAAGGACTAGAAAAAAACAGCTGAGATGGAAATACAAGACTAGATTCTTAGAGTCCTGCTGTTAGGACTAGTTTGATTAATGGACGCACAAACATGATTTCTTTCCCTTCAAGGCAATAATCCTTTGCTGGTTATTACCCTCCTGTGGTCTTGAAACTGAACCTCTTGATGGCTGAGCATAATCTCCTTCATACTGGTATATAATCAATGATCCCAATATCTTACATTGAAATTCTTGGTTATTTACTCAGAGATCTAAGGGTTGGGACAACAAAAGTGCACATTCCCTTCATGCTGTCTTTTTTTTTGCAAGAAGAAATGTTGCTCCAAGTGCTTCTTTCTGATTTGTAAAATTCTGTTTCCATCACTAATCATTCAAGATATTACTGTGTTATATACAGAAAAGTATATACCATTCTTATATATGTACCTTAAAATGATCTAGTTTAGTGCCTATTTAACTTCAGAAGTAATCAATATAAAATTAAGGGATCGCTGTATATTATTTCTTTGTCTTTCATCGACAATTTGGCACCAGCATTATTGAAAATAATCCAATCTTATGACTTATGAAATAATCACTGAACCTCTGGCTACTGATTCCTGCTGTCATCTTCCTCCAATTATCATTTTTTGGTATAAATACTAATTTTCTGATGTAATTTTGGTTTCAATATCAAAGATTATCTTTATACTGGAGCAGACTGCCTCATTGTGTTTGCAAAGTCTCCATAGCATGCCATGTCATGTTTGCATACATTCAGTGAGCGAGTTGTGTCTCCATAGGTGTTACCGAAATTAAATCGCCTCTCTGAAAAATAAAATTGTCATCAATAATAACAAAAATGTGATATTGATTTGAAAACAACCAAAGGCCATCAAAATGATAACAATATCTTGATCTTCTAAATTCAGATGTTTGTTTAGGGAAATGAAGTTCGAAATGATCCTGTACTTTTTAGTACTATGCCCATTGTATTTGTTGAGATTTGCTTATAATAATCACAACAAACACATTCTAGCAACAGTAATAGTAAACTGTGAGAATGGCCTATTATGAATCACTCATTATATTAATCTACGCACATTAAAAACAGGCAAATTTGTGGGAAAATGCACATCAATTATTTTTGTAATCTCTTAAATAAATATTAAATCATATCTCTCACACAGTATTCATGAGTCTTAAACTTACGTGGACAATAGCCTGTGTACTTGGGAATCATGCCGTCATGAAGATATAACCGCCTAGCATAGGAAGGCATTTTGACAAGGTCATCCCCTCTGGAAGAACAATTAACATCATGAAAATTACTATTATTAACATTTGTCAAAACTGCGTACATCTGATCTCTTATTACAATAATAATAATAATAATAATAATAATAATAAATGAATAAAAGATGAATATAGACACAGCATCAAAATATTTGCACAGAAAATACATATGCTGTACCTTTCAACTTTAATTGGCTCTTGTTGGACTGCAAAATGATGCATGGTTTCCTTTGCAAAAGATTCTAAGCCATTCTTGGTTGTAGTGTGGTAGCGCCCGCCAAGACCAAGCTCTGTTGTACCAATGCGGGGGATGAAGCCCTTGTAGCCAGGGATTGGGGGCTCAGTAAATGCCTTCCTGTCCTCTGAAAAAAGCATAAATGAAAAATTTTGATTACTGTTTGAATATTAATGTGATCAACTGTATATGGATGCTGTACCTACCATATTTAAACTGAAATTCAAGCCCAATCACTATGCACACTGTTTCTACTGGTTGTATGTTTTAATAACCCTTAAATGCCCCGCAGATAATGTTGCACTAACAAAAACACACCTGTGCCTTACAACATGAAAATATGTTAATAACATTAAAAACTCAACTAAATGCCACAATGTATGCTGACCTATACATTATTTGCTATATATTCATTCATATGAAAGGTGAGATCACTGTTAAAAGGAAAGAAATTATTAACAAATGGAGAATAATTTACAAACATAGATACCACCATCACAATTGAAACAAATATTATGATTTACTTCAGAAATGAAAGCAATCTTTAATATTGCTTATAAAGAAAATATTCCATACTTGATACCTATGTCTGCATGTGGGACTTATAATACAATACTTATAATTGACCCAGATAATTTGTAATGCTCAGTTATGAAAATTTGAAAAATAAAAAGCTTAATAATAACATTGAACAATTTCCCTTTAATACAATTTCCACAACATGAAATTGTTTGGATTATGAGTTAACATTTGTGTTATGTACATCTTGAAATGGAATTGTAAATAAATATATACTGTCTTTAATTTCACAAAAAAATGTCAAACATCAACATGTATTTATATATCACTGTAAAGCACTGCTGTTCAGTTGCAAATTCATGCGATAACTAAATTCAAAGTAAACTAGAGGATCNAGCAAGAAGAAATGTTGCTCCAAGTGCTTCTTTCTGATTTGTAAAATTCTGTTTCCATCACTAATCATTCAAGATATTACTGTGTTATATACAGAAAAGTATATACCATTCTTATATATGTACCTTAAAATGATCTAGTTTAGTGCCTATTTAACTTCAGAAGTAATCAATATAAAATTAAGGGATCGCTGTATATTATTTCTTTGTCTTTCATCGACAATTTGGCACCAGCATTATTGAAAATAATGCCAATCTTATGACTTATGAAATAATCACTGAACCTCTGGCTACTGATTCATGCTGTCATCTTCCTCCAATTATCATTTTTGGTATAAACACTAATTTTCTGATGTAATTTTGGTTTCAATATCAAAGATCATCTTTATACTGGAGCTGACTGCCTCATTGTGTTTGCAAAGTCTCCATAGCATGCCATGTCATGTTTGCATACATTCAGTGAGCGAGTTGTGTCTCCATAGGTGTTACCGAAATTAAATCGCCTCTCTGAAAAATAAAATTGTCATCATTAATAACAAAAATGTGATATTGATTTGAAAACAACCAAAGGCCATCAAAATGATAACAATACCTTGATCTTTTAAATTCAGATGTTTGTTTAGGGAAATGAAGTTTGAAATGATCCTGTACTTTTTAGTACTATGCCCATTGTATTTGTTGAGATTTGCTTATAATAATCACAACAAACACATTCTAGCAACAGTAATAGTTAACTGTGAGAATGGCCTATTATGAGTCACTCATTATATTAATCTACGCACATTAAAAACAGGCAAATTTGTGGGAAAATGCACATCAATTATTTTTGTAATCTCTTAAATAAATATTAAATCATATCTCTCACACAGTATTCATGAGTCTTAAACTTACGCGGACAATAGCCTGTGTACTTGGGAATCATGCCGTCATGAAGATATAACCGCCTAGCATAGGAAGGCATTTTGACAAGGTCATCCCCTCTGGAAGAACAATTAACATCATGAAAATTACTATTATTAACATTTGTCAAAACTGCGTACATCTGATCTCTTATTACAATAATAATAATAATAATAATAATAATAATAATAAATGAATAAAAGATGAATATAGACACAGTATCAAAATATTTGCACAGAAAATACATATGCTGTACCTTTCAACTTTAATTGGCTCTTGTTGGACTGCAAAATGATGCATGGTTTCCTTTGCAAAAGATTCTAAGCCATTCTTGGTTGTAGTGTGGTAGCGCCCGCCAAGACCAAGCTCTGTAGTACCAATGCGGGGGATGAAGCCCTTGTAGCCAGGGATTGGGGGCTCAGTAAATGCCTTCCTGTCCTCTGAAAAAAGCATAAATGAAAAATTTTGATTACTGTTTGAATATTAATGTGATCAACTGTATATTGATGCTGTACCTACCATATTTAAACTGAAATTCAAGCCCAATCACTATGCACACTGTTTCTACTGGTTGTATGTTTTAATAACCCTTAAATGCCCTGTAGATAATGTTGCACTAACAAAAACACACCTGTGCCTTACAACATGAAAATATGTTAATAACATTAAAAACTCAACTAAATGCCACAATGTATGCTGACCTATACATTATTTGCTATATATTCATTCGTATGAAAGGTGAGATCACCATTAAATGGAAAGGAATTATTAACAAATGGAGAATAATTTACAAACATAGATACCACCATCACAATTGAAACAAATATTATGATTTACTTCAGAAATGAAAGCAATCTTTAATATTGCTTATAAAGAAAATATTCCATACTTGATACCTATGTCTGCATGTGGGACTTATAATACAATACTTATAATTGACCCAGATAATTTGCAATGCTCAGTTATGAAAATTTGAAAAATAAAAAGCTTAATAATAACATTGAACAATTTCCCTTTAATACAATTTCCTCAACTTGAAATTGTTTGGATTATTAGTTAACACTTGTGTTATGTACATCCTGAAATTGAATTGTAAATAAATATATACTGTCTTCAATTTCACAAAAGAATGTCAAACATCAACATGTATTTATATATCACTGTAAAGTACTGCTGTTCAGTTGCAAATTCATGTGATAACTAAATCCAAAGTAAATTAATTTGTTTTAAACCTTATCTTTTTTCATTCTAAATTTAAAAAGGGAATGAATGAGTTAAATTTTCTTGCAAAATAGACATTCTACTAATCATTTAAAATTGCCCCAGTATAGAAGTATCTGACAATCTTACCCATAAACAAAGGTCTTGTTGGATGTGTATCTCTGTACTTGTTTAATTCATCCCGAACTTTAGGATCTTGAGCTACAGCTTGTAGTTTGGGGTATGATCTCACTGTACGCTGAAGGTCCACTCTCTTAATGTCCAGACCATCTTTGGTTGTCAAAAATTCATCTATACATACATCACAGCCCTCCTTATATGTGTTACCATATTTGAAGACCATCCTTGGGATATAACCTAAAATAGAAAAACATTCAGCTTTTTTACTGAGTTGAAGATACTTTGATATCTCATAAAATAATATTCATTGTAAGAAATAATTGTTTTTGATTTTGATATTTCTAATATTGTAGAAAGAAAATGACAATATTAAATCTTTTAATAAATATACAGTAATTACTTGACAACCATATAATTATTTTTCTTCTATTTTTGTTCAAATGCAATTTGTAATCGTCCAAAACTTACCCGTATATCCTGGTACCATTTTCTTAGTGTATCGATTATCTCCTGAGGAGTCTGGAAGCCTGGACTGTTGAACACCAATAGGAACATAGCCAACTGGCTCTGCTGGCTGTTTGTGATCCCAAGTCTAAAATTGCATTTCTCAAATATAAATATTGGGACAACTTAAACTTGACTGTTATAGCAATATGTATGGATTATTCATTATATCTAAATTTTTCTTTGAACAGTTTCATTATTTCTTCAGGTAAAATCAGAGTAATTTGAACATACTTAGATTGGCAGTATTGTATATATATATATTTCCCAGGGTACAAAATAATTAAAACAATGTTTCAAACTGACATACTAATTTTCTTAATTTCATTTTGTAATATTTCACACTGAATTACTGACCTGGGCAAGCTCATTAGTATTATCTCCATATGTCCTCCCTACACGATACTTTATCTGAGGGCAATAACCCCGATAGCTGAAAAATATATGATAGTATAACATAAGATTAAAATTAAATACTATGACAACATAATATATAAGGTTAAAAATTTTAAAAGACACTTTGGGAATATGACAAAATGCTATTTCTATCAAAAAAACACATGGCTGAGATTTTGGCAAGCTTTGCTTATATGCTTGGAGGCAGGTAGCAACGATCATTACAGTAACACCAATAAGGCTTATAATATGACACACTATTTTTTTAAAAAAGTTCATTCAAAACTTTTATGAGGAAGACTGTTATTGACTTTTGAGACAGTGTTAGCACTGTCTGTCTATAGGCTACACTTGTGTCCAGTCCATTAAAGATATCTATGTCAAAAAGAAAACATTCCCGGAGTCATGTGTTATGTCTATCTTCGTAACAGCAAAACACACCACTTACCCAGGGACATGAGTTCCATATTTCAGTCCAGCAAATGCCCTTCTTTGCTCTAGAGTAGGGCCTCCTCCGAAAGCTATCGAGGTCATTTTAACGAAATGAAAATTATCTTAATAAATCAAAAAGAGTCAGCACATCTATTTTGCTGTGATAATCTATGCCCAAACAGGCTGCTTGGTTTCAATGAACACTTAATGTGAGCAAGCGTCACCAGTTGCTAAGGCCCCGTTGCCAGCCTCCACTTGACCTAGGCGGCCTATGCCCCTTTTGTTGTCAAACACTTGAGCTCGGCACCAATCAGGGCAAAGCTTGGGGTTGGCATGGCGGCTACTTTGCTTTATTTCTTTTGTCAATATGCGAGAAAATTGAGCGCGCCATATCAATTGCAACTTTTGTTCTCAAATGAAAAGCAAAAGTCAATTTTGCTAATTCATCTGCACTTGCGCACTCGTTCGAGTACCTGGGCTGCATCTAAATTTGAGATTTAAACTATCTTTGGAATCATAAATTAGAAATAAAATCATCAAATATTATTCATTAATTCAAATGCTATTTTTATTTTACTTGGTATATATGTTCATCATTGATCTAATGGTGATCGACATTATTTTATCGCTCCATCCAGTTTACATTAAAATTTAGTATAAACCGTGTTGTCAAGATGTAGGACGAAGTCTTGACTGTTCCCTACCTCGTATCCGTCCATATTTTGTTTAATTCCGTCCACGACAATATTGCCGAGATGGGTAACATTAACACTAACGTTACCTCTGGTATGAAGGCTCAGGGGGACTCTAAATCCAAAAGCCTGTACAAGTATGTAGATCTGAACGGAGGTGGAGAACTTGTGGAGCTGCAGAAAGAAGCGAATAGATCCAAGCAGTTTGACAAGATAGATGAGAAAATACGATCTGATGAGATCAAGGGATTCTTATACAATGGCGGAGATGGAATGTTGGTAGATATTAACAAGTTGATTGAATATCGAAACCGAGATCGTGGTGGAGGAGGAATCAGAGAGAAGAAACCTGGAAAGACTGTTGGTAAGTCATCCGTTTCTGATACCGTCAGCACTGGGACAGCCGCCACTACTCTCAGCGACAACGATCTCCAGATGAATGAAATTAAAGGGAAAGAAGTTAAAGTCACAGATGATGCAGAGCAGCGAAATGGATCAGTGAAAATCAATTCTGAAGGTAAGAAGGTTAATTTTAATTTATTGAAAATGCCATTGCCATTCTTGGAACATGCAGTGTACAGTACTGTACTGTATGTGTACTGGTAGAGGTAAAAAAAATCACATCCGTCCTTGGTGACTCTTTGGCTTCGTTCACATGGAAAGTCTATTTTCTAAAAATCTATTTTCTATTTGCGGTATCTTATGATCACGGTCTGTGCCCTGAATATCCTGCGGCGTAATTACTGGCAGCTCGAGCCAGTTACTTATACAAAGCTGTAATTAATTCTCCACTGTGCTCGCATTCTATAAAATCTCATCCTCCATTGCTGCATCGCTTGCCGTCGGATCATGACAGTTGCACTCGTATCTGTCGTGTGCATAGCTTCTTCATCTTCTTCGTCTTGTTGTTGCACAAAATCGACAAACACATTTTTCAAAGCAACCGCGACCGCCATTAACTTTCTGACTTCCTACTGCGCATGCGTCAAGGTATCAGAATCTCCTCCGAGCACAGCCGAGAATTAATTACAGCTTTGGAAGTAAATGGCTCGCAGTGCCAGTAATTACGCCGCGGGATATTCAGGGCACAGACCGTGATCACAAGATATAGCGCGAATAGAAAATAGATTTTTAGAAAATAGACTTTCTATTCACCTGTTTACCAAATTGTACTTATTTGAGCATTTCCTATCTATTAATTTCACTTAAACTGTTACAACAATTAGTCCAGATGTTTGGTTGTAGTCCCCCTTTCCAAATGTATATTTCATGTTCACTTTTTAGGTGCACAAAAGAAAGAAATGTGTTGGCGACTAGATGAGCGTGGTACAGTTGGCGAATCAATATTGCATCTTTGCTTGCTAAATGCTACTTCTGTTCATGCTGATCTTGCCAAAAGACTTCTTCAAGTATATCCCAAACTTATCAATGACATTTATGTCAGTGAGGAATATTATGGTAAGTTACATCTTTACTTAAAACTTGGTTAAACCACCACATTTCCCTTATCTTAATGTTAGCCAACTTACTGTTTTGCAATTAATTTTACCTTGGTTTTTTAGAAATGGTATTCAGGAATTCAATCACAAATGCTGTTAGTACTTTTTGAGGGTTTTAACTTACAATCAGATCAAAATTTTTTTCATTGACAGATTTTCTTGATGCAAGCTTTTGTCAGCATGATAATTTTATTGTGCATTTATATACAGAGGATCTAGGCGATCATACATTTGATAACTTAAACCTCTCCCCTTTTTAGGTGAAAATGTACTGCACATGGCAATTTCAAATGAGGACCCTGCTATGGTGAAATTTCTTTTGGACCATGGTGCAGATGTTCATGAAAGATGCTGTGGAAATTTCTTTTGTCCGGATGACCAGAAAAAAACTAGGTCAGATGTGTATGACCAGGAATGGGTGGAAGTCAGCCAGGAAACAAATTATGATGGGTAAGCAAAAAGATGATACACAAATTGACATTTCTTTGCACTACTTAAGACATAGGGACATTGGTTTTAAAATTAAATTGAAGATACGCCTCTAGTTGGGTTAAGGTTCAATAAGCTTCTAGTAGGGTTAAGGTTCAATTTAGAATAAAGCACCCAAAATGTGTAATTTACTTAATCTTTAAAAAGATGATAACTTAATATTTTCACCAGTTTATCACAAAAACATGATTGAATTAAAGAATATGCATGTTAACATGACTCCATTATATGCTTTATTTTAATACCTTGAATCAGTCATGACTTTTTTTCATAGATCTTTCTGTTTCTGTAGTAAAATCCCTTAGTAAAAAATGCATACATATGCACTCAGCAAAAAACAAAGAAAAAACAATAACAACAACAAAAACAAATATATATATATATATATATATANGCCGGCGGAGCCGGCGGAGCCGGCGGAGCGATCCGGACGGGACCGAAACCATGTGTACCGCCAGCGCTAACGCTGGTGGTACAATTAATTTGTTTTAAATTTAAAAAGGGAATGAATGTGTTAAATGTTCTTGCAAAATAGACTTTCTACTAATCATTTAAAATTACCCCAGTATAGAAGTATCTGACCATCTTACCCATAAACAATGGTCTTGTTGGATGTGTATCTCTGTACTTGTTTAATTCATCTCGAACTTTGGGATCTTGAGCTACAGCTTGTAGTTTGGGGTATGATCTCACTGTACGCTGAAGGTCCACTCTCTTAATGTCCAGACCATCTTTGGTTGTCAAAAATTCATCAATACATACATCACAGCCCTCCTTATATGTGTTACCATATTTGAAGACCATCCTTGGGATATAACCTAAAATAGAAAAACATTCAGCTTTTTTACTGAGTTGAAGATACTTTGATATCTCATAAAATAATATTCATTGTAACAAATAATTTTTTATTTTGACATTTCTAGTATTGTAGAAAGATAATGACAATATTAAATCTTTTAATAAATATACAGTAATTACTTGACAACCATATAATTATTTTTCTTCTATTTTTGTTCAAATGCAATTTGTAATTGTCCAAAACTTACCTGTATATCCTGGTACCATTTTCTTAGTGTATCGATTATCTCCTGAGGAGTCTGGAAGCCTGGACTGTTGAACACCAATAGGAACATAGCCAACTGGCTCTGCTGGCTGTTTGTGATCCCAAGTCTAAAATTGCATTTCTCAAATATAAATATTGGGGCAACTTAAACTTGACTGTTATAGCAATATTTATGGATTAATCATTATATCTAAATTTTTCTTTGAATAGTTTCATTATTTCTTCAGGTAAAATCAGAGTAATTTGAACATACTTGACAATTATAATGCTTTAGATTGGCAGTATTGTACATGTATATTTCCCAGGGTACAAAATAATTAAAACAATGTTTCAAACTGACATACTAATTTTCTTAATTTCATTTTGTAATATTTCACACTGAATTACTGACCTGGGCAAGCTCATTAGTATTATCTCCATATGTCCTCCCTACACGATACTTTATCTGAGGGCAATAACCCCGATAGCTGAAAAATATATGATAGTATAATATAATATCAAAATTAAATACTACTGTATGACAACATAATATAAGGTTGAAATTTTTAAAAGACATTTAGGGAATATGACAAAATGCTTTTTCTAGAAAAAAACACATGGCTGAGATTTTGGCAAGCTTTGGTTATATGCTTGGAGGCAGGTAGCAACGATCATTACAGTAACATCAATAAGGCTTATAATATGACACACTATTTTTTTTTAAAGTTCATTCAAAACTTTTATGAAGAAGACTGATATTGACTTTTAAGACAGTCTTAGCACTGTCTGTCTATAGGCTACACTTGTGTCCAGTCCATTAAAGATATCTATGTCAAAAAGAAAACATTCCCGGAGTCATGTGTTATGTCTATCTTCGTAACAGCAAAACACACCACTTACCCAGGGACATGAGTTCCATATTTCAGTCCAGCAAATGCCCTTCTTTGCTCTAGAGTAGGGCCTCCTCCGAAAGCTATCGAGGTCATTTTAACGAAATGAAAATTATCTTAATAAATCAAAAAGAGTCAGCACATCTATTTTGCTGTGATAATCTATGACCAAACAGGCTGCTTGGTTTCAATGAACACTCAATGTGAGCAAGCGTCACCAGTTGCTAAGGCCCCGTTGCCAGCCTCCACTTGACCTAGGCGGCCTATGCCCCTTTTGTTGTCAAACACTTGAGCTCGGCACCAATCAGGGCAAAGCTTGGGGTTGGCATGGCGGCTACTTTGCTTTATTTCTTTTGTCAATATGCGAGAAAATTGAGCGCGCCATATCAATTGCAACTTTTGTTCTCAAATGAAAAGCAAAAGTCAATTTTGCTAATTCATCTGCACTTGCGCACTCGTTCGAGTACCTGGGCTGCATCTAAATTTGAGATTTAAACTATCTTTGGAATCATAAATTAGAAATAAAATCATCAAATATTATTCATTAATTCAAATGCTATTTTTATTTTACTTGATATATATGTTCATCATTGATCTATTGGTGATCGACATTATTTTATCGCTCCATCCAGTTTACATTAAAATTTAGTATAAACCGTGTTGTCAAGATGTAGGACGAAGTCTTGACTGTTTCCTACCTCGTATCCGTCCATATTTTGTTTAAATCCGTCCACGCCAATTGCCGAGATGGGTAACATAAACACTAACGTTACCTCTGGTATGAAGGCGCAGGGGGACTCTAAATCCAAAAGCCTGTACAAGTATGTAGATCTGAACGGAGGTGGAGAACTTGTGGAGCTGCAGAAAGAAGCGAACAGATCCAAGCAGTTTGACAAGATTGATGAGAAAATACGATCTGATGAGATCAAGGGATTCTTATACAATGGCGGAGATGGAATGTTGGTAGATATTAACAAGTTGATTGAATATCGAAACCGAGATCGTGGTGGAGGAGGAATCAGAGAGAAGAAACCTGGAAAGACTGTTGGTAAGTCATCCGTTTCCGATACCGTCAGCACTGGGACAGCCGCCACTACTCTCAGCGACAACGATCTCCAGATGAATGAAATTAAAGGGAAAGAAGTTAAAGTCACAGATGATGCAGAGCAGCGAAATGGATCAGTGAAAATCAATTCTGAAGGTAAGAAAGTTAATTTTAATTTATTGAAAATGCCATTGCCATTCTTGGAACATGCAGTGTAGGCCTACTGTATGTGTACTGGTAGAGGTTAAAAAAATCACATCCATCCTTGGTGACTCTTTATGTCAGGCAGATCATAGTTATTCACCCGTTTACCAAATTGTACTTATTTGAGCATTTCCTATCTATTGATTTCACTAAAACTGTTACAACAATATGTCCAGATGTTTGGTTGTAGTCCCCCTTTCCATAAATATATTTCATGTTCACTTTTTAGGTGCACAAAAGAAAGAAATGTGTTGGCGCCTAGATGAGCGTGGTACAGTTGGCGAATCAATATTGCATCTTTGCTTGCTAAATGCTACTTCTGTTCATGCTGATCTTGCCAAAAGACTTCTTCAAGTATATCCCAAACTTATCAATGATATTTATGTCAGTGAGGAATATTATGGTAAGTTATATCTTTACTTAAAACTTGGTTAAACCACCACATTTCCCTTATCTTAATGTTAGCCAACTTACTGTTTTGCAATTAACTTTAATTTTACCTTGGTTTTTTAGAAACGGTATTCAGGAATTCAATCACAAATGCTGTTAGTACTTTTTGAGGGTTTTAACTTACAATCAGATCAAATTTTTTTTCATTGACAGATTTTCTTGATACAAGCTTTTGTCAGCATGATAATTTTATTGTGCATTTATATATACAGAGGATCTAGGCAATCATACATTTGATAACTTAAACCTCTCCCCTTTTTAGGTGAAAATGTACTGCACATGGCAATTTCAAATGAGGACCCTGCTATGGTTAAATTTCTTTTGGACCATGGTGCAGATGTTCATGAAAGATGCTGTGGAAATTTCTTTTGTCCGGATGACCAGAAAAAAACTAGGTCAGATGTGTATGACCAGGAATGGGTGGAAGTCAGCCAGGAAACAAATTATGATGGGTAAGCAAAAAGATGATACACAAATTGACATTTCTTTGCACTACTTAAGACATAGGGACATTGGTTTTAAAATTAAATTGAAGATAAGCCTCTAGTTGGGTTAAGGTTCAATAAGCTTCTAGTAGGGTTAAGGTTCAATTTAGAAAAAGCACCCAAAATGTGTAATTTACTTAATCTTTAAAAAGATGATAACTTAATATTTTCACCAGTTTATCACAAAAACATGATTGAATTAAAGAATATGCATGTTAACATGACTCCATTTTATGCTTATTTTAATACCTTGAATCAGTCATGACTTTTTTTCATAGATCTTTCTGTTTCTGTAGTAAAATCCCTTAGTTAAAAATGCATACATATGCACTCAGCAAAAAACAAAAAAAAAAAACAACAACAACAACAAAAACAAATATATATATATATATATATATAAACACAAAACATCTTGTGTCCTTCAGTATGCTGTATTTTGGGGAGTATCCCCTGAGCTTTGCTGCCTGCCTTGGCCAAGAAGAATGTGTTAGGTTGCTTGTGGCTAAGGGAGCTGACCCAAATCTTCAGGACACGAATGGGAACACTGCTCTTCACATGATTGTTATTCATGATAGAAAGGTACATGTATGTTAGTATCTAGCTAAGAGAATAAGCCATCAGTTTTGACAGCTTGGGTGGTGGTAACTTATTTGGATTGCCTAAATTTTGCATTCACATACAGTGCTTTAGAAATTTCTGGACTTGCCACTGGAACATTCTTCTGGTTTTGTTGGTTTTTATTTATTTAGATTATACATGAAAACAAAAAGCACAACTTTACAGCCAGATTTTTTTTCTAAATTGTGTACCTCTAAACCTATGTCTATATCTGAATGCTTTTTTTTTTCAAAATAAAATATTTCCATTTTCAGTCAAATATTGCACTGTAGTGTATTATCATAAATGATGGTAGTCAGCAAGTTTTGAACAACAACTTGCTGTTTCATGACACTGTATGATAGAATGGGAGTTTCCAAGTACAATATGAAAAAACTAGTATGGCCATGTTTGTGTGGTACACATATTTGTTTTAACATTATCCATATCCAACGTCTGCAGACTGGTATGCTCTTAACAATGTTAACTTTTTTCAACAAAGATTTGAGTTGCCTCTTCAGAAGATGTGAATGGCTGTGGGGAGTTTGACAGATTGGTTTCTCTAATGCACTATATTGATTTCTCACTTTTCCCTTTTTTTCTTTTGTTTCTTCACCTTACAGAACCGCCATCGTATTGGAAAGGTTGGTGTACTTACTGATATTTGTGTTTGTGCATAGAGCTTGTTCACTTATTATTGTACAAAAATAAACATCCTTACCAAAATGTCATCATTACCCTTCCCGTGTTCAATATACCCAGTGATATGATCTAAATAATTTTTTAAACTAAATATCCAATTAAAAAAAAGTAAACAGTTATGGTTTGAGTGGGGTTAGATATTGTACCCTAATATAAGACCCTTTTCTGTAGTAACTGTTCACATATTTGTAAGTATTAATAAATGATAAAGAAAAAACTTTGTCCTGTCTGATATTTGTTTTTTAAAGTTGTTTATTCCAACTTAAGTGTTGTGTAATTTGGAAATACTAACCGACTACATATTGCTTGATTTCCATATATCCAGTGCAGCTCTCAGGTGGGAATGATCATCAAAGAGTGTTTACCAATATGCATTTTGCAAAAATACAATTCTTGTAATGCTCATACTTGCTCTTGTTGAGGCTAGCTCAGATCTATGTATTAGTGTTATCCATCGTTTTTTTGTGCTTGTTGAACTTGGCTAGTACATGTGTTTAGATGTGTATACAGTAAAGCATTTTCCATAGGAGACTATATTGATTATTGCATGATGAATTATGCCAATGCTTCTGCACACTTGAGCTGTCTTTTTAATAAGGAGTGATTCAAAGTGACAATTGCAACTGTGAATATGATAATTTAGAAAAGCTTTCTTGTGTGCTTTATTGATTAGATAGTAGGATTGAATTGCTGGCGGAAAAAACATGCATGGACACAGACACTCACACACACACACACACACACACACACACACACACACACACAGGTGGATCTGGGGGGGGGGGGGACAAATCCACCCTGTTTACCTAATTAAAATTTGGTTTTAGTCTGTATTCTATATTTCTAAAAGGAGAGGTTATGTCCATCTTTTGGGACAGAGTGTTCTAAATTGTTGAGACAAGGGTTATGTTGCATGGAGGGAGTGATAAAGGCCCCCAGACTTGATATCCTAGATCTGCCATTTCATATCAGTTATGAGGTTTGGGCTTTATTTTATGCAATTTTGTATAGTAGCCTACACTTTTTTTCAAATATCTGAGAGGCACATTTTCAATTTGATGAAATTTTAGATAGGCCGTATTCACATCGAGTTGAGCCATGGCTCTACAAAGCCACGACCTAAATATGGCGGACGCACATGAAAGGAAAACTGCCTAATCTTTTAATAGTCTCTGCCTCTCACACGCCTCCCCATGTGTCTTCCCTGCAGGGGTACAGTCATTAAATCTCGGCTCCATTGGGATGACACATGGGGAAGCATGTGAGAGGCGGAGAGACTATTAAAAGATTAGGCAGTTTTCCTTACATGTACGTCCGCCATATTTAACATAAGTTACTTTTAAACTTTCCTGCATATCTTAAAATGTGTTAAATTTATTATAAGGTAAATTTTTTTGTAAACAAAATCCATTGCAAATGACACTTAGGTTAAATTTGAGCATTGTTATTTCTTGTTTACAGTAATATGTTTATTTATTATTTTCTTTAGAAACTTGTTCTTATCAATATGTGCATGTAATGGACATTTAAAAATGTTAGGTGTAAGCAGATTTTCATATTCTGTAGTAGTATGTTCAGTGAGCATGACTAACATGATTATTTGCATGAATTATTGACAAAAAATTGTAGTCTAGTAAATTCTGGGACATAATACCTACAAAATATGTGACTCTATGTATGTACGTATGTATGTATGCATGCATGTTTGTGTGTAAATTTATAAAAGAAATGAGGCCACTGACCATTGGTCTGATCACAAAACCTGAATTTAACCCAAAGAAAATGAAGCATGTTGAAGAAAATCATCTGTTAAAAAGGATGTTACAATTTCACTCCAATCAAATTCTGATTGAGTGTTCATTATCTTATGAACCCTCATTAGCCAACCAGGAAGGCAAAAAACCATTACAAGCAATGCTATTTCTCTATCATTAGCTCTTGAAAGATTGATATTCTAATAAAAAATGTACAGTTCAGAAAGCTACTGGTTTCTAGAAGTATATGTAAAGGTATTAAAACTAATAGATGTTATGCATCTTTTAAGGATAAGTAATGGTTTCAGTATGGAAAGTGTTATATATATGTAATAGTTGTAATTAGAATAGTTCCAGACCATCCAGCTAGTTCTGTAAGATTTTAATCCTACAGCCCTGAAGGCATATTAATATTTTTTCTGCCAAGTGTCATTATCTTCAACCTGGGCAAGCAGTTTAAGCAGCTGGGCAAGGTAAAGACATCATTGTATCAGGCTGCTCAGGCATCAAACTGCCTAATGGTATTTGGATTTTTTTTCAGTTTATTTTGGTAATTTTTGTCATATTTGTCATGCATGCTTTATAAGATCCCCATTTTCTGGGATAAGATATCAAGGTGGACTACGTTTGTTTATATTGTATTTTGATTTCTTTTTAATTTCAGGATATGTTCGATCTGTTATATAATTTGAAAGATAAGAATAAAAACAGAATAGCAGAACTTCATATTAAAAACAACCAGGGACTGACCCCTCTTACTCTGGCCGCAAGACTATCAAGAAAAGATGTAAGTGAAGAAACCCTATTAACATAAAAATTTTCAGCAGTTATACTAAAAAATAATGGCAGTTATTTAGTTCCAAGGATCTTGTACCAGTACATAGCATCAGCAATGATTCTGACTTTTAGCCCATAAGTTTTTGCCCATATCTTTTGTGTGTTTTAGCATGTTCACATGTGAAAACTACTGCTAAAGGCAATCATTTGGAAAAGAATTAACCTTTTGCAAAAAGTGGTATCATACTTGTTCCAATTTCATGCTCCCTTTAACACAGAAGACTGGGTTCCTTATTTCCCAACACTGCTTCTCACTCCAGAGGGAAAAGAATGCAACCAAATTTGAGGTTGAAATAAAAGTATAATGTTGAACTGACCAGTTGTAGCCAAAAAAAGTAAAGGGACAGAGTTTACTAGCAGACCCCACTCCAAATGTGCCAAATGTTATTGAAAATTATGTTAACTTTTTGTTTTTCCCAAAACATGATACCGATTTCTCTTTACAGATGTATGAACACATTCTGGAGATAGAGCGTGAAGTCTACTGGATGTATGGCAATGTGACATGTGCAAACTACCCACTACAGGACATAGACACTATTGCACCTGATGGCAGAATCAATCCCAGATCTGTGTTGCGTGAAGTTGTGTATGGGGTGAGGAGCAAAGAATAGCAATATTCCAATATTTTTGTATTATGACTTGCCTAGAGAGGTGCATTCATCTGCTATAGATATCATACCTTAGATCAGGTCAGTTTAAAATATCTAATGGAGAAATGTGGCAATTTTTAGTCATTTTTTGAGACTTCGAACTTTAAGATGGTTTTAGCATAAAGGAATGGAAGAAAATTATGGTTTTATTTTTAGAAACTTCCTGGTCATATTGATATGATGGATGGAGTTGTAGCAAACTTACTGGATGAGAAATGGAAAACTTTTGCGAGATACAGGTAAAAATATTTGATAAAATCATTAACTTACATTTTTCAGACAACAGGTTGTTTTAAATTTATTTTCAGTGGTATTTCAGTCAAAGAGTGTTAAATCAGTCAAAGAGTTCTCACATTTTTTTCATGGAATTTTGCCATAAGTAATTAATGCATTTTTTCTGCTAATAGAGTTTTTTATAATACCAGGTTCTACCGCCGATTCCTGATGTTTTTCTTGTATTACGCGATTTTGGTGGTGGCCTTCATGCTGCGTCCAGGGGCAGACACTATGCCCACACAAGGTCCTAATGGCACAAATATCACAAACCCTTGCTATCTTGGCTTAGTCAGGAAACCAGAGGATTATGTGAGTTATGTTCACTTGTAGTGTGTAACATCTTCAAGGTAGGCCAGAGGGGTTACTGGTTTAGGAAGCTGCTTAAATTTAGTAATTAATTGATTGCTTCAAGAAAAACATAGAAGTAGGCATTTCTGTAGAATTAGTATGCCTCTTTCATCCAAGAAACAAAAATAAATTGTAAGTCTTGCTGTTTAAAAGAGTCAATTCAATAAAAAAAGTAAGTAAGAAAGTGGAAAAAATACCTGGCTATGCTTATTGCCCTTGCAGTGATACATTTTTTTTATTTTTCAATGTAGGCCCGTTTCGTGTTTGAAGCTCTTACTCTAGCAGGTGCCATATTGTACTTGTTTCTGTCAAGTCGGGAGACATATCATGTTGGAATCCATGTATTTATTGAGAGTTTGGTAAGGCATAAATAGTTTTAAAACAGCTGTAACATTAATGTTGTTTTTTTTTATTTATTTGGCATTGCCTCATAATGGTAATTAACTTTATATCTTGCAATATCTGTGAAAATCCAAGTTGAACAACAATGTTTATTTCATAACTTAACTTTAGGTTGAGTACTTCATTGTACTAATACAGGGGCAGGTCCAGGATTATTTGAAGGGGGGTCTGCTGGCGCAAAGCCCCCCCCCCCCCCCCCCCTGACCCCCTTGGCGTGGGGTCTAGACCTGGTTAAGGGCCCCCCAAAATTTTGGTATTTAAGAAGGTGAATGGTGCCATTTGGTACGGTTTAGAACTATGATTCAGCTAGTCATAATTCTAATTTCGAGAGGGGACCATTGGTATGATTTTCCCCCCCTGACATTCCCCCTAAATCTGCCACTGTAATTTATCTTGCAGGTATGCTTTTAAAAAAAAACTGTTATGGTACAATGTACTTTTTTCCAGAGAAGTGCACCAACCAAGGCTTCATTTCTGCTGTCCTGCGTGGTTATAGTATTTCTTGTTCCTGGGAGGATAGCATGTGCTCCTGGTTATGAGGATGTTATGGCAGTTTTTGCAGTATTGCTGATCTCTTTATATTTTCTTTTCTTCTGCAGGTAGGTGGCAATATCTTGTCTGTCCATGAAAGAGGATTATTCTTTTATGCCCTTCTAGTTTATGGTTACTGTTACTTTGGCAAATGGAAGGGCAGACATTTTATTTGTACACTTTTTTTCCTTATGTGTTCAACAAAAAAAAAAAAAAAAAAAATATTAAGATTTGTGGGTAAATCATAAAAATGAAAAATAAAAAAGTTCTTAAATGATTTAGTGAATAACGTAAATGTTAAACAATTAAATTTGTTATTTTTTTCAGGGGATTTAAGATAGTGGGTCCATTTGTTGCAATGATCTATAAAATGATCATAGGGGATTTGCTGCGATTCTTTACCATATATTTGGTTTTTGTAATGGGATTTTCTCAGGGTATGTAGACATACAATTTTTTGTAGCATTACACCAGCATTAACAAGTGTTTGTTGTGTTAAAGCATATATTGCAGTTTAATTATAAATTTGTTCTTACCCATATTTAGTTGCCAGCTAACCAATATTCCATAGGATATTTCCAGTAAATGTGAAGTCTTGATTTGGCGTAAATAACAGACTGCAAAAAATACTGCATGTTAATATTTGTGCAGTTTCAAATAATTGTTTTGATTGTGTCTGTTGCAGCCATGTATATTGTATACCGTGGGACTGATGATCCCATCTTCAGCCACTCTACAGAGTCCATAATGGGAATGATCATCATGTCTTTAGGAGAGTTTGGTGACATTTATGATTCATTTGATAACACACTACATCCAATAATGGGAAAGGTGAGTTCATGATATTTTAAATTGTAAACCCATTTGGAGCATTTTATCAGCATAGCTATATGTCATGTGCCAGTTTTGGCCTGTTTGAAGCTGCTTCTACTAATCAACTCTATTATGTTAATTGCTACTTCTCTTGTACTGTATCTTGATATTGCATTACAACACTTACCTTGCCATGTTATATTTTATTAATTAATTTTTAAATGTGGAAACTTAATTGTTATTGTACATAATTTTATAAAATTCACATTAATTTCAAGGCAGTTTGAAGCAGTGTTATTTTTTTTTCTTTATTCCAGGTTTTATTCTTTGTATACATGGTCCTGGTGACAGTATTACTGGTTAATATGCTCATTGCTATGATGGGGAACACATATACTCTGATCAACTCGACCCAGAAAGAATGGTTGAGACAGGTGAGATATAAAAAGAAAGCTTCATTGTAATGCACATCAGTTTTTTTCATTTTTTAAACTCAATTTTATCATATAAGAATTTCAAAGGCTTTGCTATTCACAATTGGATTCCAAACTACAGTTATATTTTTGGAAAGAAAAATAATATAATATTGTCTCTTTTACTCACACAGTAAAAATGTATATATTGTTTCTGTGAAATGAATTTTTATCTAATTTAAAAAGAGCATTGTTGGGTTTAGATTATAACCAAAATTCCCTTGAGAACATCAATTGACAATTTTTTTTTTTTAGAAAGCTCACATAGTCCTGGTGATTGAACAGAGCGTGACCACAGAAGAGAGGAAGAGACAACAGAGGATTTACTCCCAGCCCATGGGGGGTGACCGACGGGCACTGGTGGTCAGGTGGCATCAATCTGTAAGTGGTTTGGTACAATTTTTTCAGAAAGCCAAATACCAAGATGTTTTACGTTTGTTCATAATAATGAAAAATATTGGTATTTTTTATTCTGAATCTATTACATATACTTCTCTAATTTTGTCCTGTATGCTTTGTTTATGACAGCATTACTTGGAAGAAAGCTAATTTACCGTCTACCCTTGAAATATGTGTTTTGTTCATTTGGTACATATGAAGATACAAGCTTATTTGGCCAGTGCATGTTTTGCATCTTTTTTTTATTTGAATTTGTTGTGACACATTTTTTCTGTATTTGTTGTAATACATTTTTTAAGCTTAAGTTGTGTATAATATTTCCCATAAGTCATGTAATTTATCTATATTGAGTGTTGAAAAATATATTCAGGAAAAAGAGAAAAAGGAGTTATTGCAGCTGAGAGAAAAACATCGTCTCCAGAAGCAGTCTAAACTGGCAAGAAAGAGAGATGGACGAATCCTGGTGGTCAGTGGGAGTACTACTTTAAATGTACTAGAAGCTGAGCAGGGCTTAGTTAACATTTAATATCGTTACATCCAAATGCACCTGGATATTTTAAAGGGACTATCTATCAGTATCAGTTTTTTCTTATTTTAAAAACCATCCGTCTTTGTGTTCTGGTTAACACAGATATGTTTAGATTAAATTTTGCCACATGTTGTGAAGAATGAAAAGCAGGGACTATTTGCTACACACTGTGAAGAAGGAAGAGCAGGGGCTCTTTATTGATCTTTCTTCCATGAGGATGTACATTAGAATACATGCATTATACATGAAAAATTGTTGTTGATAATGTGCTTCTGTGAAGTATTCATGTTGGTTAAGTAATTGTAATCTCATTGATGTGTAGTATAAAATATGACTTAAACAGCAACATGAAAATTGAAGAGTGATGTACATGGATCAGAATATTTGTCTTGATTAATCTCTTCACTGATGTACATTTGGAAAATGTAAGTCAAAGAATCTCATTGGGGGGAGTTTGAATCTTGTGAAGTGTCCATTTAGTCGATATACAAAGAAAATGAATTATTCCAGTCCTGCAACTTGAAGATTGGGTCATCACCAGAGCATTACTAAGCTATACTTCTTTTTAAAATGCAAATTTCTAAAACAGGGAAAACAGTATAATGAGTGTGGTTTAACCAAGAAAGTATATTAGAGTATAACTTCTTAGTATAGCTAATTAAATTGAAAAAAATTATAGAGCTTATGAGCAGACTGCTGAAACACACTTTATATACAATTTAAATACTGCCTGTTTTCTGATGTATACAGTTGTTAAATCTCATCCTAAGAAACATGCAACTGTTCTCAAATAGTGTTTTACAAAGAACTCTTTATGTTGTTCTATAGCAGCAAGTGGTATTAATGTAAGGTTCAATTTTGCACTGCCACAAAATAAATGGTTATTTCCACTGATTGTGCAAGATTTTGACTAATATTTATAGAAGTTTTGGGTTCAACAACTATTATGCAAGATGTCCTGCATAAGTTCATTCCCATTTGTCATGGATGTATGAATGGAAAAAAATCTTGGCTTCAGAATTTGTCATTTATGCAATATTTATAAGAATGTTTTAACCCAACAATTAACAACCCAGTTTAATAACTTCAGACATGACAATCTTTTAATGTCTACCTTTTATTATATGTAGGCTGTACAGTTTTGTCCAGTCAGCTTTCATTTTGACCTTACTGACCTCGTACCATTGCTACAGACTGTTACATTTATCACAGAGAAAACAAATTAATTCTAAGCTAGAAGACTAAAATGTCAATGTCATATGAGTTAACAGGTAAAACATGAACAGCATGCATACATATTCAATAGTAATAAAGTGCTGAAATGCTTTCAGGACATAATCCCATTATTTAGCGATAATTATTACATTTAATAGGGAAATATTAGATTTGGTCCCTTCGAAATATTACAATATTAAAACAGGATAACAGCTATTAATATTTCCTCTGCAACATGCCAGTTTGCACACTTCTGGACTTCCCAGCTAACTAGAAAAATATTTTCCTCTTCTGGGATTATTGAACAACTAGACAGCAAAGCTGGCAAATAAACAGACATCATACAAGTAACAAGGCAGCAAAGCTGTTAAATGTTCAGACATTACGCAGAAAATAGTACACAAAATAATATTTTGGTGAATTTTTATGCACTGTGACGTAATGCTTTAATACAGCATAATCACTCTTATCCTCATACGCAATGTACTACTGGTAACATGGACATTGAAAAACTAGCAAGTGATTCAGTTCCATGGGATATAAAAGCCACTGAAAATCCTAATGGATGAAGATTTCACACACACAAAATGAGAAAAATTACCATAAATGTAAAGCGATCATGCTGATTTTGAAAAGCAACCTGCCTCTTTACCAAACAAACCCACTCGATAAATTTAAAGTAAAACAAAAATACAGTTTGAAAGTTATGGGGTGAACGTCATGTGTCCTACAACAATAACAACAGCAACAATGCACACAGACAGACTGATCAGAATATATACAGACACTGTAAGTGTCTGTATATAAAAATAAAACCAATTTTCACTGAATTCACAGTGATTTCTCATTATTTTGTTGCAGAAAAAGAGCATTCAACTTACGTTCCTCCTTTGCTTCATCTTTTAAAGCTTTGTAGAAATTGAATGAAACTTAAAAACCAGTCTTACAAGATTCTAGATACAGTGTGCTTGTTGGATTAAGCTAAAACATATAATGTACACAAAAAACTTTTAAAAAGTCAAGAATCCATGTTGCTTGCTTTCTCTACAAGAGTATCTAAATGCAATACACAGAGAAAATATAACAAAGAAAACAAGATTGGGTACTTTGGATGGAATGAATAAATATATATGGACGGTTTTACAGCAAACAACATTATACTAATGAATATACATTTGTTTATAAAAGGACTGTCAAATACATTCAACACTAGTGATTTGTTTGACTTCTAAAAAGCATATGATGACATACAAATCTAAAGCTACAAAATATTTGATATTTCACGAGTCATAAGTACAATGGCTCATTTGAGACATTTAACTATGAGGTTTTACTGTTAGTGTTTTTTAATTGATGTGTGTGCTTAAAAGTACACAATAAATCGCATTTTCACATTTAAATAAGTCATTTACAAATAAATAATCCAAATTTTCTTTGAAATTTTCTTTATGCAACAAAGACTCTATTTTAATACCTTGACTTTAGGACCCAGTATACATTGGGTCATTGCTTGAATAAAAATGTAGAGATGTTTCTTATGCATTAGCTGAAGCACAACCTCTTTTGATATATTCTTTTAAAGTCAAATGCCATATTAGAAAAAGAATTTTTCTTTAAAATGAGTCTCAACCTAAATGTTTGTCAATAGAATTCATTTCTTTTTACCCTTTCCAGACTTGATATTTTTAAAGACCCAATCCATGCCTTCCTGTAATAAATGAAAAACAAATTAAAAAAGATTAATGGCATAAAAACACTTTTTCTTTTTCATGGGATTTGGCAAGACCAGTGTTTTTACAAGTTTTTAACTAAATAAAGGTAGAAAGTATTTATTTATGGGGAAATGTTACATCATGGCCTTAAAGTAGAAATATTTTCTTACTCTGACACCCTCTCCAGTAATAGCAGAGCATGGCTGTATCTGCCATGCATGGTCACGTATTTGTGAAAGATCCAGCCCTTCAGAAATTTCACCTGGACTAGAAGCATTAAACAAATCCTGCTTATTTGCATATATGAGGACTGGAACTCCGCCTAGTTTTTCCTCTTCTAAAAGTTCACCTAGCTCCTACAAATAATATTATTCTTTAGATTAATATAGATAAAAAAAATTGTCATTACTTTTGCATTATTTTTGCTAAATAACTCAATATCTAATTTTTTCATAAATTGGAACAAATCAATTGTAAATTCCCAACATGTTTAATGCCTTATAACTGCCTTTTGGGGATCAAAAGACTCCACACATATATATATATATATATTTCCTTTCTGAGTCTGTCTACCAATACCTTTGTTTTAAGATTTTACAGAATCTCATGAAAATCACGAAAATAAGAAAAATAAATAATAATAACAATCTTTGCATTTTAAGAGCAAAGATAAAAATGGTCCTGGAGTCAGACTTATGGTTGGGGTGGGCAAACATTCAGCTTGGAGACTAATATAAAGTAAGTTCTTCTGTGGTCTAATTTTGCTTATAAAACAGTTTTTTAAACTCCTTATGATGCTTGGGATGCCTGCATTCTAAAAAATCAATATGTTTATCATTGTAAATTATCTTGTTCTAAAACAGTAAACTATAACGATTTGGACTTCCACCTAACAAGAATCTCCTGCAGAGTTGGACTGACCCAGCTAATACAATGTGTGCATCTGAATGCACCATGACACAATGGTCTTTAATGCACATACCGCTCCTGTTTCTTCAAACCTTTTCTGGTCTGCACTGTCTATCACATACACCTGAAATAAATTTTTTAAAGACGCAACATAAAATAATGTATGTAAGTGATTATTTATCATAATCAATATCTTTTATTTTGAGCCAGTAAAAAATTAAATATTACACTACTTTTTCTAAATGTACTTATTTGCAGTTTCACACATGACATATTTACAATGAATACTTACCAAAATATCAGTGTTCTCAAAATAGTTTCTCCAATATGGCCTTATATTCCTCTGTCCTCCAATGTCCCATACATTTAACTTAAACCCATCTGATGACACACTCTTTATATTGAAACCCTATGAAAAATAATGAAGAAATCTTAATATGCATACTTCCCATTGTAAAAATGTCTATTGAAAACTCAAAAGCATGGAAATTGTTCACTAATTTTGAACTCCAATCTTTTAGGAGCATAGCAATAATGAGAAATATAAAACAGTAAATATCCATCAAAGGAAGCGACTCCAAACTCCCAAAAACCATTTACCATAAAACAGAGTAAATTATCTCTGAATCCAAGCTATATATATATATATATATATATATATATATATATATATATATATATATATATATATATATTAGTAGTCACCTGTGTTGGCATAATGTGGCTTATGTCTTCTGATGCTAAATGTTTTAATATTGTTGTCTTCCCAGCATTATCTAAACCTAGCAGCAATATTCTCAACTCCTTATCTGGAGAAGACTTAAGTTTCCGTAAAAGTGAAAGCAATCCCTAAAATAAATTAAAAGGTATTATAGAATAAACAATGAAACACGATAATGTGAAAATGCATTCCTGAAAACATTAAAATAGACATTCTTTTGACATAAGTTTATGTAATTCAAACCAGCCTTGATTATGCCTAAAACAAGTAGCATAGCAATAATGAGAAATATAAAACAGTAAATATTCATCGAAGGAAGCGACTCCAAAAACTATTTACCATAAATCAGAGAAAATTATCTCTGAATCCAAGCTATACCATATTTCTTTGGGAAAATAAAAAATAGTATAAAAGGCTTGATGATGTCAATATTTAATGAAATATCTCAACACTGTGAAAGAGGGTTGCTGTTTTAAAAATAAACATTATTCTTATTGTTTATTAAGTTACCGCAACTCTTGTAGATCTTGACATCCTTTCATTAAAAAATGGCCCTACTATCTAACACTTAGTGACTTAGAAATGACTCCCATTTTTCCAAATAGGCAAAGAAAAAACAATTTTTTTATTAAATACACAAGAAACCGTGACTGAAGTCTAAGTACCAATTATTTCTTTGCTCCGCCATTTTCAAATTGGCTTCGTTGCAAACATCATGCCTCCAACCGGATCAATAATAAGTAACTAGTATGTATAACCAAATAATACATTTACAATAAATCCGAATCCTTAGTAACACAAGATTTTCACTGTACATTTATCAATTATATTAAAACCACATCTGTGGAAGAAAAATGATGTCAAACAATTCTTACCATGTCGGCTTTTTTTCAGCTTCAAGGTATCCAAGTCCTGACGTCACTACCGGAAACGATAAAATGCGCACTGCCAGTGACCCAATTTGCGAAAAATAAATAAAGCCCTGTGACCTATATGTGCATTACTTCAATGCGATATCATGTGCAGTGATTCGTGACGAGTATTACTTGGCTTGGGTCGGTACGTCACTATCAGTGGAGATATATATAGGACACTACTAAACTGTTCTGTACTTGTTGGAGAGATCCCTCTGTAGTATTTGGACTTTTGTAGTACCGGTAGATATTCATGTAAAGTTACCCAAAACAGCCTCAAGTTCAGCAGGTGCATGTAAGTTTGTTGTTAACAACAACATGATTAATGACAATTAAATGATTAATTAATCAATATCAATTTGGAACATGGAACTTCATTACAGATAGTTTATTTTCGTGACAACACATATGCATTTTTTTAATTTTTTCTTAACCACAAATTAAACCACTCGAGTATATACAAGATCTCGAAGTGCAGTGGTTGTTTGTTTAGAGTTTAACCTTTTCCAGTTCATACTGGCCCAGGCCAGTTTGTAATCCACATTTATTTTGTAATAACTATGTTTATAGGTACATTATTTGAGACTTAAATCTTATGAGAAAAATAATGCAGAGATGACTGCAACACTTGCAGTAACATACAGTACATGTAGATTTTGATTTTTTTTTTCAGTAATATACACACTTGGTGACCTACATGTAACTTGTATTATACTGGACAGTGACCAAGGGTCATCTCAAAATGATAATCTTTGCCCACTCTGCAAGGTTCTAGTGGGAAATCAAATTGGATATTGAAGCTCAAATCTTGCACGTAATTTTATTAATTATTTTATTTATAACAACAGTCAGTATATCTAAATGACATTAATGAAAAGTATACATGTTATGCTGTGGCCGGAGATATTGATGGAATGTGCTTTGTGATTTGCTTTTAGGCTTCAGAAATTGCATGAAGATGGCAAATAATAATTTTGCAAAGGACATGCGCATCAATCTGGATGAACCACGATGGGATCAAAGTACATTTGTTGGTAGACTTAAATACTTTTTTTGGGTAACAGATCCTAGAGCTGTATTTAAGACAAATAAACAGCTTGATGATGCCAAGGAACTTGTAGCTCTCTATAAGTAAGTTGTGTGTGTGTCTCAACTAAATATGCATATAACATGTTAGATAAGTATCTTTCAGATAAGTATTTTTCTAAAAGCTGCAAAAAAAAAAAAAGAAAAAAAAATCAAACTTAATTTATTCATTCAAATTTTTTACAAAAAATGCCAAATTTTAAATGCCAAAATAATTGCATGGTGTTCAAAACACGAATTTGAGGGATAGATCTGTGATGACTTACATACAAGATAAAATTTTGATGACAAATGTTTTAGTGGGAATAAGCTATTTACACAGCCATGAAGCAAGTATAACATTGAAATCGTTCCCATGCCACCCTCTTATTTTTTACCGCCCTCATTTTTTTTATTCATATATATATATATATATATATATATATATATATATATATATATATATATTATTTGAATATCTTTTGAAATAAAACTTCACTGTACAAAGTCAACATTTGCAGTTTTTCATTCTTGTTAATCACTAAACTCACATATTTTGGCAGATGTACCAATTGTAGCATAACATGTGATGCATACAGTTCAGGGCAATTAAGGAAACTGTCATCAATTTGTCAGACAGATTATTAACAATGTCAAAAGGCAAGAAGAATGCTAGATTGAGTTCAGAATTGAAAACTTTAAGAGGCTATACATACACTGATTTACTGTAGGTTGTATCAATTTACCTTTGTCAAATATAACTTTCATACATTGTGTTAGCAGAAGAAGGATTTTTTAGAATAAGTATGCAGGGAAGAAAAGAGGAGTAAGTATTTCATAATTTGAGAAAGTCAGAGACATTGTTTATGTGACATTGCTATAAATATAATTAATAAATGAAAGCCCATGCTTGCAACTTTTAGGGAAGGCAAAGAGCCAGAGGGTACCACAGAAGAACAGATATGGTATGCAAAGAAACTTACTTTATCTGCCTTCCACCCTGACACAGGTGAGAGACAGAATGTCATAGGAAGAATGTCATTCCAAGTTCCTGGAGGCATGTTAATCACTGGATGTCTGCTGCAGTTCTACAGGTCTCTCTTATTCTTTTTTTCTCTCTTACACAAAAGATATTTAATATTGGAAATAATTATGACATTTGCTATATGAGGAACAGCTGTCATATTTCATATGATCTATTTGTACTTCTAGAACCAGTGCTGCTGTGGTCTTCTGGCAGTGGGTAAATCAGTCCTTTAATGCATTGGTTAATTACACCAACAGAAATGCTCAGGCCTCAATCACTAACCAGTAAGTTGTTTATAGATTATAAAATCACACTGATAATTACTTTTTGACTCGTGGAGTAATTCATTCACAGATATATTTGTAAAAGTATTATAAATTTAAGTATGAAAAAACTTAATTAGTACTATCTTAGATAAAAGAATTAAGAACTGTGTGACTGTCCTAATGTCTGGCTTTGTCATCAGTAGCTTGATAACTACATGTCACTTTCATTAAAACTGAAGTAGAACTATCTGTTAGAACTGTTTGAACTAGTACTACGATTGAGTAAAGTTTTTGGGTGTAAGATGAGTCACTGTGGAGGTGATTTCCTTTCATTCTTTTATAGAAACAGGGTCTCTATGTATATTTATATTTAAGTGCGTGGTAGGATTGCCTCCTAGTGTTTCTCACTCTCAAAAGGAAATGGCATACGTGACAAAATTATACTTTACTAAGTGTTACCATATATTCTTCTGAATTTTCAATAATATAAATATGACTTTCCTTCCAAACTTGTTACTAACAGTTGTACACATTGTTGTCTCTCTCTCTCTTGGTGGTGGCCCTTTGTTAATTGCCATATGTTAGTACTGTCTATAAGAACTTTCTGAACTTACTTAAATTTAATGCTAAATATCCATAAATGGTCATCTTGTCATCATGCATGTTTTTATCTTTTACAACAGACATTTTCCTGTCTGTCATGGGAGACACACCAGCTGTATCAACCAATTTTATCCCATCTATTAAAACAATACATCCCAATTCTAAAAACAAGAATTGTCCATGTAGCTAGTTAAGATAAAACTTATAGTATCAACGTTATCTTAAATCACAACACTACAGGAACATTAATACACTAAGAGTGAATGAGTACAATTAGAATTGAATCAACTTTTAATTTGCTTTTATTTATCATATTATTATGATATTGAATGTAGCAAGGGTATTATCAGCTTTAAAAATATTCTTATAGCAGACTGTATATCATATCTTTGTAATGCAACCAAGCCATATAGATCATCTGTCATACTCACCTTTCACAAAATCAATAAAATGGGTCAATTATGAGAGACATTGAAGAAAAATGTTGAGCTGAAGCTCTCAGATTTTACACATAGCTACTATAAAATCATAAATGTAAAGAATATTTCTACCAAATTTCAATTCAAACTGTTTAGCATATTATGAAATTAAATGCTTCCAAGTTGATGATAAAATACAGCTTTCAAGATGTTGACAAAATTGGAACTGTGTCCTTACTGCATCCATTGTGCTGGATGTTTTGTTTTGTCCTGATATTTAGTTGACAGATTATAATAGAATCCAAATTTTGAGCTGCAGATAAATGAAATTGAACTTTTTATGACTTTAAATTGTAAGTGCAAAAAAAAAGTTTTATGACTTTAAATTTTTTAGCAAAAAAAAAAAAAAAATACATACATACATACATACATATATTAGTAATGCTGATTTGATACTATACATATCTGACTGGAGAGAGGAATGAGGTCATGTTTATACATCCCACACACACAAAAGTTGGCAAACAAGTTTGGAGTGCAAGTTTGGAGGAAATAATTCATTTCAAATGGAAAAAATGCATTGGGTATTGAGGTGGAAAAGTACAATTGATCACAGGGAAACCCTTAATGATGTTGCTTTTATACTTTTAATAATACATACCCCTTTAAATATTTTTAAATATACTGACTGACCAAAGAATTCAGTTGCAGAATTTTTTTTTTTAAAATAAAAAATGAATTTTGTCTACAAACTATGTTTACATACATGTAGAGTCACCACTTGGTCTGGTATTACATTAAAAAAAATTCCTTTAAGTCACGCCCCTTATTTTTTACATATTTTTTACTAGGCAGATAGCTGTTGCATATGTGTCTGCTACCTCTTCTGCTGTAGTCACTGCTATTGGACTCAAGACTTTTTTATCTAAGGTACAAATCTATTATATATTTCCTTCTGATTATGTTTCCTGTTGAATTCAGTTAATTATAATGTATTCCACATTCTTAGAAAGGAAAGACTAAAGCAATAACATGTGAATCCCATATGTGTCACATCAAATTATGAGAGGTGGGTCAAGGAGGTAATATGCCATTTGCAGCTAGATACGGCATTGCATAGTGAATAGTGCTCATTCTCATAGTAACACTCTCTGAGGACAACCACGGTGTTACTGAATGCTTTTTAAGATAGTAGGTTTTGTAAGTTTGTTCATATAACATTATCAACATACTACAAAAATGAATTTCGATCTGACAAGTGTTTTGTTAAGCACATCCCTTGAAGGTGGCTCCTACACAGGAGGTTGACCCCACATTTGTAGTTTTTGAGCCACCTTTGCTCAAACATTACTCTAAATGATGATTAATTTAATTTCCAGAGAACTACATCAACATTGTTGCAGAGGTTTGTCCCGTTTGCTGCTGTAGCTGCCGCTAACATGGTGAACATTCCTCTTATGAGACAGAGGTACTGCATGTTTTGTTTGTAATCAAGTGAGGACCTTATAAATGAAACTGCCATTTGTTACATCGAGCTGCAGATTAGTGATTTCAATCACTGAATTTATGACTGGACAGCTATATTTTATTGTCCAATTACACAAATACTGACTGTACGTGTCATTAACTGGGAATCACAAATCTGCTCACTACCCCTTCCGTATGTGAGATTATTGAGAGCGCATTACGTACTCCCATATTTATTTAGGAAAGGAAATAGAAGATTATAGAAATGTATTACAAGTAGTTTTATAGAAGATTATAGAAATCAGTTACTTTCATTCTTTCTGAAGGTTTTTTTTCCTCAATTTTTAAATGAAAAGGTTTATATATAAGCAAGGAGTTACAACAGTTATAACTCCTTGATATAAGGTATTTGTTGGTTGGCTGTCTCAAAGAAAACACTAAGCTTTTAAGTATTATCAGAACTGGCAATCTAAATTGCTTATTCATGGATCCAATTCACAAATGGCAATTATTGTTCAAGATGCCTGAAGTGTTTACAGCTTTTCTGTAATACTTTTCCTACATCCAGCATGAAGATGTGAATATATTCTTTGCGATGTATCTCCCAATTTCCTTGTATATTTACAGTGCTTGTTAATTGATTAAGCCCCAAGGTCTGTCATTTTTATTCAACAAAGGAAAAAGGGGCCATGACAATGATGTAAAAGTAGATAAATAGTAAATGAGACTTTTTTGGTTTTCCTAATTGAAGTACAAGAGCTGCACCTTTGGTCATTTCAGTGAGTTAATAGATGGAATAGCAGTATTTGATGAGAATGGGAAAAGGGTATCAGAGTCAAGGGTAAGAATTTTTTTTTTTTTTTGTTTTTTTTGCACTGTAAAATTTTTCTTTTGTTATTCATGATAAACTGCAAAGATATTGTGCTAGAAATGTCAGTGAGTCACAAATTGAAAGCACCTTTGTTTCTTTACAGTGAACAATTCAATTGCTTTTTAGATATAAGAGACGATAAACAACTCCCTGCTAAGAGTGGTCAAATATTTGCTTATAAATTTGTGTTTTAATGAATATATTCTTTCTGAATCAGTTAATTTTATAATAGTGAAAATCTTTTTTCTTTTTTCAGTATGGTGCAGCAAAGGGAATCAGCCAGGTTGTGTTTTCTAGGATTGCAATGGCCACCCCTGGAATGTGTAGGTCTTCCCACATTGCATTATATATTGAACTAATGTGAACAAAATGGTTTTAAAAACAAGATGGATTGCATAGTTATAGACTTTGCAATATATTTGAATAATTGGTTTCCACTTGAAAATTAAATTTAATGCAAAGGGTTCCATTTATACTGGTTGCTGATTAATTTAAAAATAGACTTCTGCAGCATGTGATGTTATCAAACCTAATGTACGTATGGGGAATTTATAAAAAAATGTGACAGGTTCTTTTTGCTTCACACTTTACTGTCCAGTGGTTATTATTCTCTGTCTCAATTTTTAGTATTAACGCCAGTCATTATGGAAAGATTAGAAAAATATAGATGGATGCAGAGGATTAAACCAGCCCATGTTTTTATACAAACATTGATAGTAGGATGCTTGTAAGTAAACGGCTTTACTGAGCAGTGCTGTGCATTATTTAATGGGTTATATAAAACTCCAGTGATTTAGACCTTAGATAGCCTGTGGTAGTTGACACAGATCTCATGTTTTTACCTGCTACAGACGTTTAAGATCTTAATTCATATAAATGAGTAATTTTCTACCCAAGCAGTTATGGTTCATTGTAAAACAAATATAGTGAATAATTTGATGCTAGCATTCAATGATTGGAAATTTATTTCACCTTCAGCCTTCTTTTCATGACACCAACTGCATGTGCCTTATTCCCACAGAAATGGTAAGATATTTAAAGCAGTTTTACTTACATTTTCAGCATATAAATTTGTGCTTGTGTGGTTAGCTTTAGACCAATTTCTTTTGCACTTTTTCGTTTCATCTTCAGTGTTATATTTACCACTCCCACTGCATGTGCCTTCTTCCCACAAAGATGGTAAGACCTGCATTTACTGGTTTCTTTTTCTCCTTTAAATATCTTCTTTCTTTATTTTAAAGTGTAGAATAATTCACGAGGGTTAACATGTTGCATCTTAATCCACGAGTTTTAAAATATGTTTATTTCACTTTAATATAACAATTAAAATGGAGTTTATTTAGTTAAATGTTGTGTGTCACATCTGGATGCACATGGGCTTTTGTGGGGTTAAACATGAAGAGTATGAAGATAGCCTCTCTCACCTGCTTAAAAATAATAATTGATGCTTTTTTTTCACTAACAAATAGGGAACAGGTAGATACAAATAATTAGTGCTTTTTCCACTTACAAAAAGTTAACAAGTAGATACAAAGCTGTGTGATTAAATTGAGTAGTTTCTTAACATACTAAGACCGCATTCACAACGAGTTGAGCCATGGATCTACAAAGTCGCGTACTAAATATGGCGGGCGTACATTAAAGGAAAACCACCTAATCTTTTAATAGTCTCTCCGCCTCTCACACGCCTCCCCATGTGTCGTCCCAATGGAGGTGAGATTTATTGACTGTACCCCCGCAGGAACGACACATGGGGAGGCGTGTGAGAGGCGGAGAGACTATTAAAAGATTAGGCGTTTTTTCTTTTATGTACGTCCGCCATATTTAGTACGCGACTTTGTAGATCCATGGCTCAACTCATTGTGAATGCGGTCTAATTAACTTAAGTAGCATGTTGCTGAATCTCATTATTCTTTCAGCTCTATCAATCTAGAGAAAATGAGGCTTGTAGACTCCAAGAAGTATGAGGCTATAATGACAGGATATGGAGATGCCCCACCGAAGAAACTATACTTCAACAAAGGTTTATAAAGCATGCAACTGTTACACCTGTTGATATTTATCCAGTCTTCCCAGTAATTGATTTAACTCTGTAGTTCAAAATATTGTAATTTGCTCAATAATGTCGAAGCAGATAAATCATAGCATGCGACATTCTGATGATGCTGACACCTGTATTCACAGTGATTAACTGAACACCAGAACCAAGAAAAGCATCTGCACTGACAACAGATTTTGGGGTTTTTTCCAGTTAACTGTGCAATTGGAATTTTGTGAAGGGTCCAACATTAAAATAGGTTCACAACATTGTGTTCAATTTATAATTTAGCAAATGCATGTTTTCATTCTTGCATTGCTCTCGATGCCAGTCTCAATTCAACTTAAATTTTCTTAGCACACTGACAGGGTTGTTATGTTCTTAATTCAATTCTTATTAAGAGGGGGATAATAATAATAATAATAATAATAATAATAATAATGTTTCATTTGGTTCATGATTACATATGCAAATATTTGGTACCTGGCCAACATTGTAATGTATGTCATGAATGTATGCCCAGCTCTGCAGAAATTTATATCGATGACAGTAATTAATTGAAAAAGGGAGGCTAATTATGTGAGAATAAGTTTACTTCTCTTTTTACAATTTTGGACTTTTCAAATGTAAAAATGACTGAACTGTACTGAAACTAACATGACTACAAAACCTAGAATAATAAAATGTATGAAAATATAAATCAGTTGAATTGTACAATTTCATGAGCACTGACATAAATACCTGTACTGTAAAAAGATGAAAAACTATACATTTATTTGATAAAGTTTTTATAAATTATAAACATATAATAGAGAAGTAATTTGATAGTATAATCTGTATAAATTATATACAGAAGAGTCCAGTAGGACAAATTGCACAAAACATGTTTGATTATTGAAATAAAGAAAGTGGGTGATAACTAAAAAGAAAAATATGAATTCGATGTAAACTAATGACTTTCTCATTGTTTGAAAACAGACAATCAAAATGTATCAAGTTAAGTCACTACACTCTCACAGTTTTGTCCAGTCCAAACAGACAATTAGAGCTCTACATTACCTCTTTTGCATGTAAATGTGCTTTTCTATTGGAATGTATACTTTCACCAAATCAATTTTCAGTAAATTAACATTTTGGATATAAAACCCTTGCCGGAGGTGCCCATGAATTTTTCTGAGAAGTAAATTATACTGTGTGAAGTGACCTCATAAATCTCAGCTACCCCTATACATAAAATTCGATTCTCTGCGTTTTTTTTTTTTTTTTTTTTTCATGTAGTAATCAAACTAGAGGTTTCTTCAAATCAACTCAAATCGTGTCTAATGTAGAATCCAAGAACCAAAAACAACATTTGGTTAACACTAAAAATAAATTACCCAATGTTACTAAAAGAGAAAATTATGCAATCAAAAGTTGAGCCATTAAATTATAGTGTTTTTGTCCTTTTTGGTAACATTAAGGTATTTCATTCTGGTTGTTAATGAGTTCTTGTTTTTCAATAAAATTTTTAGAAACATATCAGGCAAGTAGTTTCAGTTGTAGGTTTCGGTAAAAAAATGCTATCAAATATAGAAAATAATTTAATTGAATTCTGTGGGGCATTAACAACTGTTGTAAACAAAGAATGAATAAGCATCCCCGGTAAATGATGAAAAAATTGGTTAACTACAGAAAGTCTCAATGATGGACTCTATACAATCAAAATACATCTCCATTCTGGGTGTTTGTCCACTTTCTCTTTGTGAAAACTTTGCCCTGAGTTCTTGGACTACCTCTGTGACTCTGTCCTCACTCTCTGTGTTTTCTGAGATAATGCTCTGTCTGGCCCAGATGGGCATGTAGATGTTCTCTGGTGTAACAAAGAAAATGTATAAATAAACCAACCTGTTGACTAACTTTAGACAAAATGCATTTCAGCATCAAACTGTATTTAATTTATTGTTGTGCAGCAATAAGTGAGAGACTCTGATTACCAGCAATAAAAAAACTTGGTCTAGAAAATAACTGGAGAGGCCAAATTGGACTGTAAAATAAAAAATTTACATGCGAGTTAAAAGGGCAAAATATATCAAAATTTTTGTTACCTTTTTTTATCCTTACGTAACTTTCCACTAACATGAACAGAAGCATCACCAGTTCCTCCATGTCACTTGTGTTGTGTCCTGGGCAAGGCTTGTGATCCTGATCCTCAGGGGTGGGGCTACAGCCTGGGGATGAGGGAGGGGTCAAGTTACCAGTGGCACGTGGCGGGGGAACACAGTCTTTGTAACATTCCAGCATATCCAAAAGACTACCATGGCCATTTTTCATGTATATAGCATAGTCTCCATCACAGTAATCCTCCAGAATCCTTTGCACTACATGAAGTCGCAGAAGATGATTACATATTGTAGACAGCAGAAGATGACGTGTTTCTTTACTTGGCTGCATTATGTAATTTCTGGCCAGTTCAACTGCAATTTTTCTAGCACTGTCAATGGGATGTGGAGTCACGCTCAAAGAGAGTGACAACAGTTTCTGAATGAGGGGCAAGACTTCTGGTACATCCTTGTGGCACACAGAACTATCATCCTCACTCAGTGCAATTTCTCTTTTTACATTTTGTTTTGAGAATGAAGCTGTGACATTGTCATGTTCCCCCAAAACAAAGCAACTACACAACCATGCCAATATTTGTTGCACATGTTGGAAGTTGCTTTCAGCACAGAGCCACCTATATACCACAGACTTCTTGACATCTCTCTGATCAGATAAGTTGTGCTGTGCCAATTCCATCTCCAGGTAACTGACTATTATTTCAAGCCCTAGTGCAGTACTGGCGACAGACAGAGGCTCTTGCTCATTCACACTGTCAGGAAGGCTCAGACATCTGAGAATGTGTTCAATATGATCCCACTGGAAAGGAATATTCCTCTTTGGGGGATGAAGAGTCTGAACATGTTTAAGTGCCTTATAAGCCTTGCTGGTGATTGTATAATCTTTACTTATAATGAGTATGTCTTTCAAAATGTCAACAACCATCTTTTCTGAAGGGCGCATTCTGCTAGTGGTAAAATCCTCCACCATTTTGGTCACATGAAAGTTAAATGAATTTCCTTCTTCCAAGCAAGCCTCTATGGAATGAACTTGTGCAGACGTGAATGACTTAGGTTGTACATCACTGCCTAAATTGGCATCTATACCTGGTTTACTGACCAGAAGTTGGTGGCTACTTGTACTGAATTTCCTGAGTGAACTCACACTGGTTTGTTGTTCTTCTTCTTCTTCATCCTCTGGTGGTACATCAGTAGAATGTAGCAAATGCTGAAGTGAGGTTCGCACAATCTGGTCAGATACATTCCTTTCTGCCTTCAAGTGTTTTTTGGGTGATGCACATTCAAAATCACTATCTTCTTCATCAGCACATTTTCTTCGTTTTTTGCTGAATGTGCTGTCATCTTTCCAATCAGTGTGAAAAGTATGCCCTCTTTCTTTTCTTTTTTCAATACCTGTACATTTTTGAACTTCTGTGATCCTGCGTTTCTTTTTGCAAGATTTGGCACCCTCCCTTTGTTTTTTCTCTTTCAACACATTAGGACATAAAGACAGGGGCTGATTTATCTCATTGTCACTGTCACTGACAAGATCAATCAATACTTCCTCAAGACCAAGATCTCCCTCAAAATGCTGTTTACTGTATGTATCTTTGTGTAAGGGGATCCCCTCTTCAGTATCAGAGTTGCTTATATCACTGTAACAGAAAATGGGCCTTGATTTGGACTTCTCTGTATCTGACTCACTGCTTATGTCACTACAGTCCAATACATGGTATCCGTTTTCTGCTGATGATTGTCTGGTAACAATATGATCTGCTTCTGATTCACAATCACTTATATCACTGTACTGATTAGTACCATACCTTTTCTTTTTAGCAGGACTTTCCTGAGCATCGTCAAAGTTTCCTTGTTGTTGTACTCTACTCGGTGCCACTTTTAATTTTGATACAGCAGTTCTCAGCTTCTTTAAATTAAGACTGATGTTTGATTTATTTTTTATGTCTTTCAAAGTATGTTCTTTTTGAGCAGTAAAGTCATTTGAGATTTTGTGATAGCATTCTTTTTCCAGAAACTGTGTGGTATCCTCACTGTCACAGCCTAACTGGTTTTCTTTTCTGGTAGTTTGCTGGGACAATAAAGAAAAACTTCCAAACTCTCCTCCATCCAACTGGTAATCAGTCTTTACATCTGGTGGTGGTGTGTCTTGCTCTTTATAGGTCTGGGGAAGAAAATAATGGTGTTAAATAGTTTTAAACAAATCTCTAAGGATTTAAAGTAAATTAGCCCAAGGCCAGCGCTTTGAACAATAGGATAAAGGCACTTGCTTTTCACCTACATGCTCGCCTGTATTTTATTAGCTTTGGCATTCATCCTGTTGTTTAAAGTGCCAGCCTTGGGATAAGTCAGTTGCAGCAAGAAGCAACTTCTTGGTTACAGCTACTCATTGTCCATTGTCCACTCGCTATAATTAGGCTGATATAATTAGGCTCAGCTGTGCCTCATTATTATTTTGCTCTTGTATGTTGCATACACAGCAGACAACTCATGCTGCAACTTGTCTTTAAAGTGTTAAAATATCATAACAATTGTACTTTAATGTGTCTGAGAAGGACAGTGCTTAGGGGAAGGTGTAATTTGAACCAGATAAGCATTATCTTTATAGATCTTTTTTTAACTATGGTAGACTATAAGGGTCTTATCACTTGACTATATTTTTACAGTTTTGTTATACATGTATATACACTCCTGTTAGTGTTATGCCTGGTAAAAGGTGACAAAATGAGCATTTGTGACTAATTTCTGTGTTGCAATGAATTGCCTAAGGGACAACTTCTTAATACAGGAGCTAAAAACTTTTCACATGACACCATTTGAAATACATATTATATGAAATGAAAAGGGTGATCATACAATGTGTGTAATGCACTAAAGGTAGATAACAAAGGTAAGAAAAATGACTAGTCCATCATATTATATTATAATAATAACTTGGGTACCTTCAATAAGTGATATTAACATGAAAGGTTAGACTATAAAATGTGAGTAAAACNCATTGTATTTTGAGAATGAAGCTGTGACATTGTCATGTTCCCCCAAAACAAAGCAACTACACAACCATGCCAATATTTGTTGCACATGTTGGAAGTTGCTTTCAGCACAGAGCCACCTATATACCACAGACTTCTTGACATCTCTCTGATCAGATAAGTTGTGCTGTGCCAATTCCATCTCCAGGTAACTGACTATTATTTCAAGCCCTAGCGCAGTACTGGCGACAGACAGAGGCTCTTGCTCATTCACACTGTCAGGAAGGCTCAGACATCTGAGAATGTGTTCAATATGATCCCACTGGAAAGGAATATTCCTCTTTGGGGGATGAAGAGTCTGAACATGTTTAAGTGCCTTATAAGCCTTGCTGGTGATTGTATAATCTTTACTTATAATGAGTATGTCTTTCAAAATGTCAACAACCATCTTTTCTGAAGGGCGCATTCTGCTAGTGGTAAAATCCTCCACCATTTTGGTCACATGAAAGTTAAATGAATTTCCTTCTTCCAAGCAAGCCTCTATGGAATGAACTTGTGCAGACGTGAATGACTTTGGTTGTACATCACTGCCTAAATTGGCATCTATACTTGGTTCACTGACCAGAAGTTGGTGGCTACTTGTACTGAATTTCCTGAGTGAACTCACACTGGTTTGTTCTTCTTCTTCTTCTTCATCCTCTGGTGCATCAGTAGAATGCAGCAAATGCTGAAGCGAGGTTCGCACAATCTGGTCAGATACATTCCTTTCTGCCTTCAAGTGTTTTTTGGGTGATGCACATTCAAAATCACTATCTTCTTCAACAGCACATTTTCTTCGTTTTTTGCTGAATGTGCAGTCATCTTTCCAATCAGTGTGAAAAGTATGCTCTCTTTCTTTTCTTTTTTTAATACCTGTACATTTTTGAACTTCTGTGATCCTGCGTTTCTTTTTGCAAGATTTGGCACCCTCCCTTTGTTTTTTCTCTTTCAACACATTAGGACATAAAGACAGGGGCTGATTTATCTCATTGTCACTGTCACTGACGAGATCAATCAATACTTCCTCAAGACCAAGATCTCCCTCAAAATGCTGTTTACTGTATGTATCTTTGTGTAAGGGGATCCCCTCTTCAGTATCAGAGTTGCTTATATCACTGTAACAGAAAATGGGCCTTGATTTGGACTTCTCTGTATCTGACTCACTGCTTATGTCACTACAGTCCAATACATGGTATCCGTTTTCTGCTGATGATTGTCTGGTAACGACATGATCTGCTTCTGATTCACAATCACTTATATCACTGTACTGATTAGTATCATACCTTTTCTTTTTAGCAGGACTTTCCTGAGCATCGTCAAAGTTTCCTTGTTGTTGTACTCTACTCGGTGCCACTTTTAGTTTTGATACAGCAGTTCTCAGCTTCTTTAAATTAAGACTGATGTTTGATTTAATTTTTATGTCTTTCAAAGTATGTTCTTTTTGATCAGTAAAGTCATTTGAGATTTTGTGATAGCATTCTTTTTCCAGAAACTGTGTGGTATCCTCACTGTCACAGCCTAACTGGTTTTCTTTTCTGGTAATTTGCTGGGACAATAAAGAAAAACTTCCAAACTCTCCTCCATCCAACTGGTAATCAGTCTTTACATCTGGTGGTGGTGTGTCTTGCTCTTTATAGGTCTGGGGAAGAAAATAATGGTGTTAAATAGTTTTAAACAAATCTCTAAGGAATTAAAGTAAATTATCCCAAGGCCAGCGCTTTGAACAATAGGATAAGGGCACTTGCTTTTCACCTACATGCTCGCCTGTATTTTATTAGCTTTGGCATTCATCCTGTTGTTCTAAGTGCCAGCCTTGTGATAAGTCAGTTGCAGCAAGAAGCAACTTCTTGGTTACAGCTACTCATTGTCCATTGTCCACTCGCTATAATTAGGCTGATATAATTAGGCTCAGTTGTGCCTCATTATTATGCTCTTGTATGTTGCATACAGCAGACAACTCTTGTTGCAACTAGTCTTTTAAGTGTTAAAATATCATAACAATTGTTCTTTAATGTGTCTGAGAAGTATAGTGCTTAGGGGAAGGTGTAATTTGAACCAGATAAGCATTATCTTTATATATTTTTATAGCTATGGTAGACTATAAGGGTCTTATTACTTGACTATATTTTTACAGTTTTGTTATACATGTATATACACTCCTGTTAGTGTTATGCCTGGTAAAAGGTGACAAAATGAGCATTTGTGACTAATTTCTGTGTTGCAATGAATTGCCTAAGGGACAACTTCTTAATACAGGAGCTAAAAACTTTTCACATGACACCATTTGAAATACATATTATATGAAATGAAAAGGGTGATCATACAATGTGTGTAATGCACTAAAGGTAGATAACAAAGGTAAGAAAAATGACTAGTCCATCATATTATATTATAATAATAACTTGGGTACCTTCAATAAGTGATATTAACATGAAAGGTTAGACTATAAAATGTGAGTAAAACACTTTCCTATTTTAGAAATGCAACATTCCCTTTCACTATGACACTCAAATTTTAACCAGATGATGAAAAATCCACAAATGGCCAAAACTGTTGTTAACTAGTGAGATAACATTGTAATTTCACCATTATCATTTCAGGTGCATAACTGTACATTCACTTCCCACACTACATAATCCCTTTGACACCTAAATTAAAAGCTGTTTAAAGTTCCCAAAGGGGACATAATCTTACATCATTTCATATCATATCAGATAAAAGAGTTCAAATAACCAGGGTGCAGATTAAGCACTTACCAACTAGCAAATGCTTGTGCTTTTCAGCTTTGACAAACACCATAACCAGAGAAAAAGCCTATTTCTTCTTTTTGTGAAAAAGTTAAGGCCTATATTCTTTACCTTTACATACCTAACTAAGGGAATGCATGTAGCAAAGAAAATCTGTGAAGCATATGTCTTTATCACATCAGAGGTTGGATCCTTACCCTAAGCAAATATATATTATGCTGCTACATTTACACAAAACTCAAGCTTTTTATCTGATATCCTTATTACATAACAATCAGAGTTGCCAATATAGCTTCTATATTTGCTTTATATGTTATAAAATATCAGCATATCCTTTCAAATGAAGACAATCCCATTCAGCTCTCTAGATGCAATTATTGGTCTATAGTAGCCACAAAATTTTCTGCTAGGTGACCTTCTTGATACCCGTTTTGAAAATGTATGCATGCACAATGATAGCTTAATAAAACATCAAACATAACTTAAAGCATAAATCCAGTTGTTTCTATTTTTGCTTTGATATCATGTAGATAATTTACCCATAAATCCCTCTAACCACAAGTTTGCATAGAAGCCACAAAAATATTGCAAAACTTTGATTGAGAATAAAAATGAAAAGTAATCATATTTATTAATATGGTAATAACAAAACCAGTTAATATCCAAAATGTAATCCAAATGTCAAAATATTCATTTAAACATAAAGATCAGAGCGCTATCCAAGCCATTCAAAATACCTCTAACAAAAATTTATGTACCTTTAGTAACTGTTCAATAACAGACCAAGCACAGTGGTCCATGGACAAAATTCCCAGCATCATGAAATTTCCTACTTCTATACAAAAACAAGAGCGTGTGCACATGCTTCCTGTCACTTCACTATGATCAAAGTGTAACCAGTATTAAATCACATGATTATGCTGTGCTATGTTGATAACCTATTCTAACCATCCAAGTTAAGCCACATCATCATTAAACCCCAATGCCACCAATGGCTGGCAGACACAAGGCATATCAGTGTGACTCATGACAAATGGCTTTATCAGGTAGAGTTACAGGATCAATTTTTAATGCAAATGCTGGTATCGAGTTTCATTCTTGACTGTTATTTCTTTCAAACTGCCACATGATCACTTGATTATAGAAAAAATATGAACACTTGATTAAAATGTTTAAAATGTTTGTAAAATGAATCAAATTTGTTGTATAGTAAAACAATAGCTTACTTATAAAATTTCACTAGATCAAATAGCTACATGTATAAAATGCTTCCAATATTAGAAATTCCAACTAATACCATGATATGGTGTTTCTCTTCTCAGGGATCTGCATATATCTATTCTTTAACTGACCCCTATATATTTTTCTATGGCAGAGATATTGAGTAACCTAAGATTATCCAGGAAACCCAGCTATTGGAGCAACTGATCAAACCTTGCTGACAATAAAAAATATTCTCCACTTGATTCTCCACTTGACTGAGTAAACAAGGCAGCAAATCTGTCAAATATACATACATAAAGCAGAAAATAAAAATGCATGTAATAGGTTATTTGTCAATTTTGATGCAATATTACATAATGCTAAATCAACAACAAATTTTAATTAGGCACAACACAGTGGCAGATGGAGGCCGTCTTCTGGGTCCCGGAAGATGGTCAGATGTTCAGTTTACATTGATGGGCATCAAATTTTTTCTATCGGGAGACGGTAAGGAATTTTCAAGATTTTGTTGAAGATCTTCTTACTTTGTCTGTGACAGTCTTACGTGACTTTCCTACTCACTTCAGTAATAATAGTTGCCATGAGACCATAATCACCTTGAGTGGTTTAGATCATATCAAAAGCTGACGGTCGTCCAAATTAACTATCATCTGTTGACAAGCTTACTAATTGCTGATGCAATTAAAATACCTGGTAGTTGACCAGAGGGTAAGCTAGAGCACGTAAACAATTAACTATTTAATTACACACCGTCGCACTCCCAAGCCAGGTTATGACAGGTAATTCGACCTGTAAGATTCTTGGTAGGCATTAATATGTTTTCAATATCCTTCTCTTATTTCATGAGGTAATGTTATTGGTACTCTTAAATGACTTTTGATATCCATATTTAAAACAAGTGAGTTTAAGCATGGTTCCTCAACATTCATGAAAGAGATCACTCTCAGGGTATCTTGAAGCATGTGTATGCCCAGGCAATACTTCTGAGGAAGAAAACGAGAGAATAGTGAAATAGTGTTGTGTGCATTGAGAATTTATTTATTTGTTTCTTAGCTATATTCAACCTCAGGATATATAATTTGAAACCTAAGTACTAGGTCTTTACATGCTTTGCACCAGCTTTTTAAGTAGGTCATATTTTTTCACGACACATTCGCTTCTTCAAGCAGTGGGAATGGAGGCAAAAAAGACCTAACGCCTAAAAAAAAAAAATTAATAAAATAAAAAAAAATAAATTAATAATAATTATAATATAATAATAATATAAAGTTTCCAGGTAGTGGTCCTTTCAGCAAACTTGGGAAAAGAATTATAAATAACCTTGCCCTTACTAACAGTTAAACATTAAGTTCTGGATTTAAGGTAGATCGGTCGTTACATGTTCCAACGTTCGAATTTTTTAAAAAATTTTTTGTTTGAAGAGACACCCAAGTACATTAAAAATTTGCAAAATAAATTGGGGGTCACCGACCAAATAAGAGAACTAGGCCCAAATATGATACACCCTGCATATCGCACTAGTCTCCACTAGTGTTTTTTCACTAAAGCATTATTTTTTATGACTTTCTGACGTTCGAATTTTTTAAAAAAAATTTTTGTGGAAAGAGGCCTCCAAGTACATTGAAATTTTCCAAAAAAATTGGGGGTCAGCGACCAAATAAGAGAACTACGCCAACTTGAAGTGCGTCACACCCTGCATGACGCACTAGTCCCCATTCAAATCAATGGGCAAATGGGTGTTTTTTCACCAAAACGTTATTTTTTATTATTATTTTCTAACGTTTGGATTTTTTTTAAAAACTTTTTGTGTAAAGAGGCATCCATGTACATTTCAATTTTGCCAAAAAAAAATTGGGGGTCACCGACTTAATAAGAGAACTACGCCAAGTTGAAGTGCGTTACACCCTGTGTGACGCACTAGTCGGAAGTCCCCATTCAAATCAATGGGAAAATGGGTGTTTTTGCACTAAATCATTTTTATTTATTTATTTATTTTATTTATTTATTTTATTTTTTTTTGTGTGTGTGTGTGTGTGGAGAGAGACATCTAAGTACATTAAAAACTTTCATTATGTTTAACAGTTGAAGTGAGTATACTCAGCTATTTTCAGATTTGTCATACTGAGAAGGTGTAAGCCATTAACTTTACAACAAAATTATTGAAGAGAGTAATAAGGGAAATACTCATGCATATGAAAATAGTTAATTGCCGTTGTTATTTATTAATGAATATAACATGAACGTGACATCGTAAACACTGTGTTGTCAAGTAAAATGAAGCGTCTGATACAAAGTATCAAATGCGGCATTCACGTGCTTGCTTGCGGTGCACAATTTTTCTGTATAATAAAACGCAGTTTCAATTTTGATTAGTGAATTCTCTTCAAGCTGTATGGCCATTTTCTGAACATTTGTATAAGCTACGAAATATTTCTCAGTCCAAATTTCTCTAAGTCCAAATCGGTGGCGTTACGACGCACTTCCGGTTTTTGTCGAAATCTAAGCCAGGGGGTGGAAACGCGCTACTTATATGATTAGGACGAGCCTAGCCGTCAGTACCGGATATTGTTTTGTGACCTTGAGGAGCAATTAAGTTTGGTCTTTGCGGCACGTATGAACAGTAGTTGAACTACCACACCTGGGTCTTTTGTTTTTGACAACTGTTCAC